CTACTGAGATATCGTGGCACCAATTCGCCTGCACTGTATCCGACGCGCTAGACCACCCGACCACCTAGGCTTTAATAATAAAGCTTTCGGTGGCCGAGTGTTACCTTTCCTCGTCAGTTTTAATCTAGCGTCGTAATACATATATATATTCCAAAACCTATACTTGACTTGGTTTTTTTTTCATAAATAAAGATTTCACATGTTAACAGCAACCTATACGTTATGGGTTTTTATGCCGCCGCCGTCATCGGAGGGGGCATTAAGTGTTACTCTCGTCCGTCCGTCTGTACGTTCCAAAGTTGGTTTTCGTTCTCTAACTTTAGTTTGCCTCAACCAAATGTTATGAAACTTATACACAAAGCTAATCACCACAAAACACAGATTAAGGTCGAATTTGGGTGGCGTCACCTTTACTTTTCTAGAGGTATGCCCTTAACAAATGGAAAAATTGCTGAATTTTCGTTTCCGGTCTCTTACTTTAGTATGCCTCAAACAAATGTTATGTAACTTATACACAATGATATTTACCACAAAACTCAGCTCAAGTGTAAATATTGATGGTGTCATTTTTACTGTTCTTGAGTTATGTCCCTTAATAACGTTATACGCAAGCGTGGGCATCATGTGTGTCCACATTCTCCATTTATTTTCTCATTATTGAAGGCCGAATGGTGAATTATGTTTGGTTTATATCCACGTCATTTGAACTCTGGTGGATAGTTGTCTTATTGACAATCAAACCATATCTCCTTATTTTTATATCAAAGCCTTCTATTTCATACTTATATTGTAAGTCACAAATGTTTCTCACTGCTATTACAACTGTATGCCAAGAAAGGAGACAGACAATGTATTTGTATGTCAAGAAATGAGACAGACAATGTATTTGTATGTCAAGAAAGGAGACAGACAATGTATTTGTATGTCAAGAAAGGAGACAGACAATGTATTTGTATGTCAAGAAAGGAGACAGACAATGTATTAGTATGTCAAGAAAGGAGACAGACAATGTATTTGTATGTCAAGAAAGGAGACAGACAATGTATTTGTATGTCAAGAAAGGAGACAGACAATGTATTTGTATTATTTTTTTCAAATTAACAGAATAAATGCAAACACAAATACTTGAATGTAGTAAAAGGGCATCATTTTCATAGGTATGAGGAAAATTATTTCAAAATCAGTCAAAATCTCAAAATCGAAGGACAGACAACACCTTGGTGAAAGACAAAAACATGAAAGGACTAACAATATTCTCTATTTCATTACACAGAGAACTAGCGGTTTGGTTAACCAATACATCAACAAAAAAAGGGGAAAAGAAAATTTTCAGAAGGGTAAAGGATTTTCAAAATGTATATTCGAAATTATCAAATAATAACATAAACGGTACTAATTTTACTGCAACAGATGTGAACTTCGGCATTTTAAAATGTATCTTCAGTGATGCTCGAGGTCAAAATATTTGAAAATCCAAAACCTTATACAAACATTAAAGAGCTTATTGTACAAGGTCAATTCTCAGTATTTTCTCAAAGAAACCTCTAAATTAATCAAGTATATTTCATTGAAAATGAGATATAAGTTAACAAGAATAAGAGCATAAAGGAAATCGACCTTTTCATCTCACATAAAACAGTTCACAAAACAAAAACAATTATAAAGTCCATTACAATACAAAAAAAAAACAGTGTAGTCTACTTCATCTTTGATCCAAGACACCCACTGAAGTCTTTTCTCCAAGTGAAGGACAACAGCCATAATGAGTAATATACTTGTATTGTCCATTTTTTCCATCTCAATAAACACCTGCTAGCAATGTCTTAAAGATGGATTGTTGAACTAACAGAAATACATCTTGATGTATTATAAATAAACACAAATAATATGTTTTACCCCTGGAGTACTATATTTGTGAATGATAATATGACAATATACATCATACCACTATAGTGTTTTCCTTCATAAGATAAAACAGAATGAATACTGACATAACAAAACCAAAATAATATGATATTGGAAAATTTAAGAAAGCCAATCTTTAAAATTAAAGCATGGTCCCTAATTATTTTAAAGTATTCTGATATTGTAGTCGCAAAACATTGTGATTACTTCAGATTCAGATTGTAGAATTATCTTTAAATAATCATGGATGCATCTAGTGAAACAGACAGTATTTACCCTTCCGGGGCACCACAGTTGTTTCCTTGTTTCAATGGAGTTCGTGTTGGTTTTATATTTTTCCGCTTAATGTTTAGCTGTTATTTGCCTGTTTTCCTTTTTCCTTTGGTCATAGTGTTTGTGGTGTATAATTTTTGTTTGTTAAATATAAATATATTTTACTAGAAATGTCTATATAGATATTAAATAAACGGAGTCCGTTGCTTTCATTTATTTTTTATTTTCTATGGTCTCTGTTAAATTAACTTACAGCTATTCTAGACTTTGGACTATTTAGAGCTTGACATATTGTATGGACACTTGTCTATTGTTGAAGGTCGTATGTTACTCTTTTCAAATCTTTCGTTTGTTGTGTAGTTCAGTTGCTGTCTCATTATCCAATATATATCTCAAAATGTAATATAAAAATATGATACCAAATTATGTGTATACGATAGACGGTATAATATGTTAAGATATACATGCACGAGACCATATGTTTAAGACGAATGTTTGTGAGCAGTAAAACCGGATAGGACATAAACAAAACAACAACACCTCCTAACAACGTTAACTGACGGGTTATCTATTAGACACCGTTATGCATCCCTGTCCAGTTTTTTTAATTTACTTAAGAGGGTTCCTTACACAAGGTAAGCTGAATTGTAAGTTCCTGTAATTTTCCCTTCCTCCGTATCAATTGTTCTCTTTTAATATAAACTTTCCTTCTATGGCATTGATACTAGTCAATGACTTAAAAGAAATTTTACTGCAACATCGCCAGTTTTTTATTTGACTGATATTAAAAAAGGTGAAACAATACAAATTAGAAAACTAACAGACTTATTTATTCTACAACAATAAACTATAAAAAAAATATGAAAAACAGCAACCACCAACAACCACTGGATTACTGGCTTGTGACAGCAATATAAAGAATGTGGCTGTGTTGAACATGTTTGTGATCGATGAAACCTCTTCCTTACCTAGCTATTGGTGTAACAACACAGCATTAGAACAAACTGCAAAATTAGTTGGGAAGGTAACAAACACACAAACCAATCACAAAAAGACAACACTATTTTACAGGTTCAGCTAATCTTCCCAAACCTTTGTAGCTATGAAAGAATATAATAGTAATGGTTTTAGCCTTTTTAGGTAACGAAAACCACCTGACCTTATATTCATTTGTTATACATAGATTACGTTCATCCGAAATCTAAAATATCACTATAGACAAGGGGATAACGAAAGCGTTTCGAAACATACATACTGTAAGAAGATGTACATAACCTCCTTACCTTAAATTCATCACAGTTATACATTGATTACGTTCATTGAAATCTAAAATATCACTCGAAAGCGTGCGAAACATACATACTGTAAGAAGAGGTACATAACTGTGCAATCAAGAACAATAGAGCACGAGAAATCGAGTTTCTTGTTTGAAACTAAAATTTCACAATACCAATAAAAAAAAATTTATTGCTTTTCTTATGTATGAAGAATATAGATAGACAAACAATTCTGCTATTAAAGTAATGAAATTGGGTTTCATAGGAATAGCTTTAATCTGTCGATAAACTTTATTCTCGAAACATACACTGATATCATCAAGAAGGAAATCTACAGCTTTTATATTGACAGCAGAGTTCTAGTATGTATACCTAGAATGTTTATCTTTTTCATAACAGAAGAAGGCTTTATATGAGTTACAACATGCATTTATTTTCAGATTTTACGAAAGGCCATTTGATTAGATAAGACAACTTCAGTTTGATAAAATGGGTTGGAGTGTAATGTAGAGAGTCGAAAAGTCTCAACTTTCATCGAATTGAAAGGGCCATTAAAACAGTTGTTTATGTATTTTAGGTAACCAATAAAAATTAGGGGCCTTCAAATGACCAGAAAAGACCTTGCTCTTGGATGTGGTAATAAAATATATGATTTTCCACTAATTGACTCTCAGTAGAGCGTACGACCTTGAATATAGAAGAATTTATGATTTCATGCTTAAGAACTTTCGTGTAGTATACTAAATACCGCTTTCACTGCTTGAAGTATATTTCTAATTCTGGAAATAGGCATAATAACCCTTTTATAATTATAATTACTTAATTATTTCTGACCGTTCGAATATCTTCAATCAAGTGATTTTTAATCGGATTTCTCTCGTTTTTAAGCAATTTTTTACAATTGGATGAAAGAGCATTTTTGATTACCTGGCGACACTTTTCAATCTATTTATTATGGTAGACGATAGTTTAATCCTTTATTGCAGAGGATGTAACTACACCCTCTCGGTCTTAATCGTGCCGAGGTCCCATTTAATAATTAACATGGCCATAGGGATCATCTAAACTTTGATGTTTCACAGTCTCATGTTGAAGGAGAATTATTTTCTACTATATACGTTTGACCAATATACAACTGACTTACAACAAAAAATAAACTTCTACAGTTTTTTTTGCTAGTTCCGTGTTATCAAATTAATAATGTATAATGTTTTAGACAGTGGAATCATTATATATAATAAAATCAACACCTCTGTTACACTATTTCATTTCAATATAATGTCTTTTATAATCTTCAAAATTATTAAAATACGAGTTGACAGTCCATGGTGACAAAAAGCTGTAACGATACGGATAGACTCATATGAAGTTTGCAGATCATTGGAAGTTCTCTCATCCATGACTTTACAGTAAAGTAATAACTATTTAAACGGTTTCCTTTTGTTTCAAACTAAATTCCTTTCCTTAATTATTCGCTCAGTTAATCGTATTGTTAACAACAATTTATGAACAATTATATGGAACAGTTTATTTTCATACAACATAGGTAAATTTAAGTTTATAGTGGATATTTTTCCCGATTAGCTCTTTAGATTAAAATATACTTCAAAATGCCTTCCTAGAACATGTAAGTAAACTTAATTAAGTACATAAATATTGATTACGCTACAATACGAAAGTTGTTACTCTTTTTGAGTTATTAATGTATTTACGATTTTTTTCAGGAGTCCTAAATAATTAAACGAAAACATAACTATGTTAAGCAGGACTTCATTAGAGGAAAATGATTCCCATGGTGTCGGGTCGTCGGCAAGTTTTCGACAAGGAATGGAAAGTGTACTAGAAGACTCATCTCAAATGCAGTCTAGAGGGGAGACTGAAGATGAATTTGACACTGATAAATATAAACAGAAAAATGCTGAAGCCACTGCAAAGAGTGAAAAGTCAGATATAAATCTAAAAACCTCTACTCAATCTTTAAAGAAGCTCGGCTCAAAATTGAGCACATCTATGACGGATGACTTTGATATGGAAATGTATAAAACTGCCAGAGGAAATTTAGACTCCAGACAAAAGAAGACATCCGTTATTGGAAATTACCCTGACAGTAAACAGTCTACGAAGACAGAAAATATGGTGAAGGCAAGTTATAGACTTACAGAAGACGTGCTAGATCCTGACAAAAGTGGGGAACCATGGGTTAATACTTCAAGAGAACTTAAATCTGGTACTGTTGTCTGCTCGACGCACGATGAAGCTCCTGTGATCATGCATTGCAAGACATGCGATCGTCTTGTTTGTGATGAGTGTATAACATCAACCCACAAACCACATGACCTCGTAGAAATTCGGAAACAAGGCCTGCAAGATAAGCTCATCTTAACAGAAAAACTTCCTGACGTACGAACACGCGCTATCCCGTCACTTAGAAAGAACTTAGATGGATTAAGTCATACGAAATCAAAATGCACGGAGGAATTTGATAGCATGATTGATCAAATCAAACATAGGTCATCGGTTTTAATAATGGCTATCGAAACGGCAAGGGATCGTTTGATTAGCAGATGTTCTTCAGACAAAGATGCTAGCCATGCATTTCTTAATAAGCTGGAAGATAAACTCTCAACAGGCTTAGTAAGTATTGAAGCATCGGCTAATTCTTCAGATGAGGCACTCCAAATGGACAAAGATCCGGCGACCGTACATGAAAGAATTAAACTTCAATGGCTTCTTGACAAATATCGAAGAAGTCACCCTCAAATAACCTATCCAAAGTTTCAAAACGGAACTGCACCAAGAGAGGAGGCTACTCTTGAAAAAATGATAGGGTATTTTGACGGCATGTTGAAGTGCGAAGCAAAAGACCAATTGCACAAGATTATGCTTAACGTAACACCACTTGGATCATTGAAACCATTGTATGTAAAAACAATTTCCTACATGCACAAAGTAAGAAGCGCATGTTCGTCTGGTGACGATAAAATCTGCATTATTCCTGTAATTCCCTCGACGTCATTAGACATCATGACGTCGGATGGTGTATCAGTAATGACTCAAGTTCCCCATACACGCATATATGATATCACGAGAACAATGGATAGCCATTTTTTAGTTTCGGATCCTCGTAGTAGAAAAATCATGAGAATAACAGAGCACGGAGTCGTTGTCAAATGGACAAATGTAAATGGTATACCAAGAGGTCTGCACGCTTGCAAAAATGGAGATATTCTTGTTTGCATTGTCGATAGCGTAGCATTTTCACACTTCCGTCATTCAAAGCGCTTTATTATTCGGATGAACGAGAATTTTAAAATCATTGAGACCTACGGCCAAAAAGAACACATATTTAACATACCGGACCGTATATTCGAAAACATTAATGGCGATATCTGCATCATTGATAGAACTGGTGGATTGGATAGTAGGCTTGTAGTTATGGATTGCCATGGCGGGGTACGGTTTGAGTATCCAGGTGAAGGAAGTTTTGACGGCTCGTATGGTGATGGATATATACCAGTGAAGCGACAAGCATTTAGTGATGTCTGCTGCGATGGTTATGCCAACATTTATCTTTCAGATGAAAGAAACAATGAAATCGTCGTTCTAGATCCCGATGGGGCGGAGCAAAAAGGCGTTGACGAGATCTTCATGAAGAAACGGGATAAGGTTGAAACGAACATGGTTGCACCACACAGAATAGTAATAGACCAAAATGGGAGACTATGGGTAATTCAGAGACGAAAAATTACACTGTTTGCCTTGTACAACTAGGACTTAGTTGTTATGTTCATATAAATATTTATATATGTTTATATATTTCAGCTGTTGATAAAATTGGTATATATTCAAACAAATTAGTTGTTATCTTCGTCATAGAGGTATCTACCAGATATGGTCTACATGATCCATGCAGTCTATATCTTAAACTGATTAACAATCTTTTTACATCCCAACGATTTATCGCGAAAGTGGGTTTTTTTTACTTCAAGTTGCTAATATTTCTTGAATACTGATGACAAATATAGAACTTTAATAAATTTCGTAAATGATTTAACAAATACAAAATGAACAAAATAAATGCTTCGTCGAAAAAGTTTATCTAAGTGTTTTTGTCCGTTTAGGAATAAGGCAGTCATTGAAATTTTCCATAGAACAACTTTAGATGATTTAGAGATGTATTTTTGCTTAGTGGGTTAGTGTCTCATTGACATATCCAAGGTCTCCTTTTTCTTATATCAATGATAATATACAATAATTATATTATTAACACATTCAATTTAATTGTTATGGCATGATCAAATACTAAAAATAAAACTGACAACTTTTAATATATTCCATGGGAGTGACAGTGGCTTTCATATGATTTTTTTAAAATAAATAACTACAAGTATTTGGTTTTTTTTCTGATATATATTAATGTTCATGTACAAAAATGTAATCATACTTAATGTAGATAGATTTTCTTAATAAGAGACAATCATTAATATAGTTTGCAGTGATATTTACCGCTGCTCAACAGTGTGAACATATACCTAAGTGTCAATAGAATTGAAATAGGTGTTTGTTGACGAGACGCATAGTTTATAACTTGTATATCTGAAAGTTTGTGTGTAGTAAAATGGTTCTAATACTTAGCATCAACTCAAAAAAAAAAGATGAAACATTTTATAATCGTTTTACTATTCAAAATTATAATTCGGACGCAATTCAGAAGGTCTTTGAAATTAAACATATTTGCTCCATTCAAAACAACGATATCATGGATTACAGTTTATAAGAAAACTTCACAACGAAATGTCATTGGATCTATGAAACAAAAAAGAAAAACTTCTGAAAAACTACGGTCAGTTTTGCATTTGCATTTTTTCAGAAATTGATAAATTTATTTATATAGAACTGAACCAACTGTAGTTAACAAAGCATGCAAATGCCAAATCACGAATAGTGGCATAGGCAAATGCTACAATGGAAGCGGACCAGTGGTTTGTCAATTAACTGTTGTTTCTAGCGCGAAAGGCAAGTATTTCGTGCACATCCAGGAATAGAACAAATAAGCAATAGATCAAGTTTGTAGATTCTTCAAAACGGGTCTTCCGGAATGACGGGTGGGTCATTTAGACTGCCACTGGAAAAAGAGGGTGTGTTGGATTGGGTCAGATATTTTTCCTTGTTCCTTTTTTTGGAACCCACACAGAGTTACTGCAAGGGTTCTTTAATATGTAAAGAAGTCTAACAACACACTAATTCCATTAAACGTCTGTATTCCAACAAGACGTGGCTGCTTATTAATACAAGAGAGATAAAAAGTTTTACTGTCGGATGGGAAAAGTCCAGGTTGCCATATATCTCTACCCGAGTAAACTCTTGGTGCACGGAGCAGTGAAAAGGTGGTAGTAACTGAAATCAACAATACTTGACAATTGTGTACCATCCCCATCAAAACAAACACATCAGTTTATTTCCATGTTTCATGTGTCATTAACAGCTGCATATATTCTTGTTATTTTTACGTATGTGTTTTGTTGTTAACATTCGCATATATTCTTTTTATGTGTTCGAGTGCAATATACATACACATCAGGACCTTTGCGTGCGTTCTTTGTCATTAACAGTCGCAAATTTTTTTTTCATGTGTGCGTGTATCACACAAACACCCCATATCCTTTCCTCATGTTTAATCCACCATTTTCTACATAAGGAAATGCCTTACCAAGTCAGGAATATGGCAGTTGTTTATCGTTCGTTTGATGTGTTTGAGCTTTTGATTTTGTTATTTGATAGGGATTTTCCGCTTTGAATTTTCCTTGGAGTTGGGTATTTTTGTTATTTTACTTTTCCATGTGTTCCTTGTCGTTTAAAGTCGCATATATTCTTTTTTTATGCGTGCGTATGCAACCTCACCCACACACCAAAACACACACATACACATCAGGTCCTTTGTCGTTTATGGTCGCATATATATATATATAAATAAGAAGATGTGGTATGAGTGCATATAAGACAACTCTCAATCCAAGTCACAATGTGTAAAAAGTAAACAATTATAGGTCAAAGTACGTTCTTCAACACTGTTCAAGTCTCCTACAAGTACGCTTGGGGTTTGATTGATGGAATTGACTATATATTAACACTACGGTAACAAAAAGGGAATAAATAGATCAACTACATGCAATAACAAGATTTAGAACTCCATTTTCAGGGCGAATATATATAAATTATCAGTTTTGATAATAAATGAATTTATGTAAGTTTTTTTAGTCGGAAGTTTATTGAAAATACTTTAAAGCCGTCTAATAATTGATATCCGTGGGCAGTGGTGGATTCAACGGAGCGTTATAAAATAAAATGATATTTATTACGTTTTCAGGAGCTACGCCCGCTTTGAAAATTTGTGGATCCGCCCCTGGTGCGCACATCACCAATTTAGATGGTATCTTCGGAAAACACGTTTCAAAGTCGGTAGTAGCGCCTGAATGATAGTTACTTCACAATGTACAACTGTAGTAAGGAAATAATAAGGGAAAGACAATAGATCAAAATAATTAGTTAAATCATGGAAGTAAAATGAAATATAATACTTCCATGGTTAAATCATCACCGTGTAGAACGCCACATGCCGGGTGTTGGCTATGCTTGACACGGGGTGGCGGTTTTGAAGCGGAGAAAAAGCGATGAAGGTAAGTAAAAGTATCAAAATTTATTTTTTGAGAACTGTTTGTACCAAATAATGTATTCCACGGAAGGAACCGATCAATAATCTAGTTCCATCAAGCTGAAGCATACGTTCCCAGTGCTTCGTTTTCTCAAACACCTCTCCCTAGTTTTCCGTGTTGCAGATTTTGAGACTTTATATGGAAGTTTCAGGATAAAAAACTACTTTTGGCGAATTGTTCCCGTACGATTTATATAGAAATCAATTCCTATCATAGAATTTAACCAAATACAAGTTTTTTAGTCCAAATTTTTTGGTGTTAAAGTTTATTTTTTTATCGAAATGTAATGTGTCGTTCGGAGTGTCAGATTTTGCATCTCATAGGGTTGAGGCATTTCTTAAAACAAGGTTAGATTTGCCTATAATTCAGTATTTATCTGATGATTTGGAATTTAAACACGCCTACTCTATTATGATGACTCATCATTAAATTAAAGTATTTCATTTTGCCTGTACTTTCGTTTTTTGAGTAATGTGCCTTTTTAATGTTAGAAATAGAGAAAAAGCATCGAAGTATTTTGTTCTATACCTGAACATGATTTGTTTTCCTTTTCAGTTACTATTATGAAAAAAATAACTTTAAAACCAATAAATTTCAACTAAGAAGCTGGCATTGGGTTAAATTCTATGATAGGAATTCGTTTCTATATAAATCAAATGGAAAAAAAATGTCAAAAGTAGTTTTTTATCCTGAAACTTGGATATGAAGTCTCAAAATCTGTAACACGGAAAACTAGAGAGAGGTGTTTGAAAAAACGGAGCACTGGAAACGACTTCTTCTGCTTGATGGAAATAGATTATGGTTCGGTTCCTTCCGTGCAATACATTATTTGGTGCTAACAATTCTCAAAAATGAAATTTTGATACTTTTACTTACCTTGGTCGCTTTTTTCTCCGCTTCAAAACAGCCACCCCGTGTCAAACATAGCCAACACCCCGCATGTGGTGTTCTACACGGTGAATCATGGAAGTATTATATTCAATATAACACTGCCATGGTTAAATGAATTAATTGTGTCCAATGGAGAGATAACGATTATCTAATGTTTCATAAGTTTGTGAATTTATATGGATCAAATTAGTTTTTAGTCATAATATTAAATGAAAACTTGTGTTGTCAATAAAGAGATGAAATACATGCACAAAATAAATAAACAGATCAGAATAAAAATTTTACGGTGTGCTTCTTTCAAAACAAATGTTATTCATTCTTCATTTCATCCAGACAGTCGTGATTTTTATTCACAATTATTGATAAGAAATGTATTTGACACCAAAAGTTGACAAGACCTCCTATTATCAAGGTCAAAATTACATGAAACATAAAAATAAAAGCGAATTTAAAAGAACAATACCGAGTTTTGGATTTGAAAGTTTATAAACAAAGAGACATTCAAGACTACCTTTTGAAAAAGGTTTTGTTTGGTATTGTTGTTTCTATATAGATTATCTAATATAGAAGGAATACACATGATATGGGACACGTATGAAATTTAAACTTTATATTTTCCTTTACATTTCATTAATTCTTTTGTTTTAAGTAAAACGCTTTCCATAATGTGTCTATTTTTGTCTTGTGTGTCGACCACTAATTGCTTCCACTTACAATTTTGTACATATAGTTTATTTTGATTATTTTTGAAGTTATCGACAAGGCTGAACAAAATGGATAGAATGAGCGTAAGTTATTCAGTTTACTCTCGACAACTTTAAACATAAATAACGAAATGCTCGTTTAAGTAATCTGTGGTTAGGTATATGTTCTAAGCGGTGTGGCTGTATTTTGTTTCAAAACATTTGGCCATAAGGACCAGTGGAGTCAAAGTTCTTTGCATGCAACAAAATTATTCCTCAAAATAGTATAACATAGTGTTAGATTTTATTGGAACTTTTTTAAGATAAACTAGAACAACAGGTGCTTTGGATGATAATAATTCACTATTTCTACAATTTATATTTCCGATTATTTAAACTGATTTTTGTATTATTAAAGGATTAGATGTTTCTAATAAAACGTTACAAAATAATAAAACACAAGCTAAGCAACACAAACTTTACTTGACAGTAGGATTCTGGTAAAAACAAGTGTCACTAAATTTTTGTGTTAGAATGTAGACATAATTAATAATATGTATCCCTTTCTGTTAAAGATACGAACCATAACCAAAGATATTCCAAGCAATGTCAAAATCAAAGATGGAAAAGTCATTTGTACTGAACATGGACAAGAGGAGGTTGGGATGTACTGTAAAAAATGTGGGGTTCTGGTCTGTACCGGATGTATCGAATTCCGTCATAGATCGCACGACATAGTTAGCGTTAAAAGTCAGTCAGTTGAGGATAGAAAGTCGTTGTTGAGAACAATTCCAGGATTGAAACAAACATTTATTCCTAGTTTAAAAGATAACCTCAAAGCTATTAAAGAATCAAGAGATTCGACCAAGGCAGAATTTTCTAAGCTTATTGAACAGATCAATGCCAGAAGCCTGGAACTAATTAAAGAAATTCATAAAGTACGCGATCGTATGATTCAAGAATGTAAGGCTAATCAAGAGAAGACAACTACATTTCTTAACGAAACCGAATCTAAAACCTTAAATGGAATAAGCACTCTAGAAAAATCAATGAAATCTTGTGAAGAACTTCTAAGGCAGGAGCGTGCTGATCGAAATGCTGAAATCATTTTAGAGAGAATAGAACTTGACTCAAATCTTGATGAATTTCCAAATAAAACCCCAAAATTAGGCTACCCAAATTTTCATCCAGGAGTAAATGATGAAAATGTCTTAAAACACATGTTTGGTGGCTTCCGCGGCCAATTTAAACGAGATTTTGATGCAGCTATTCCGTATACAAAATTATCAGCAATTACGAAAAAACTAAAACCAAATATAGTATCAGCATTTAAATACAAAACAGACATACGTGCAATGTGTATCGTGGACGTAAACACAGCTTGGTTAGTACCAATCAGTCAATATAACGAATTAGTCAAGGTGGATCGATCTGGAAGAGAGTTAGAAAGGCGAAGCACAGGATTCCAGGTTTACGATTTAACCCTAACTAAAAATCAAGATATTCTAGCGACAAACTCCGAGAATAAATCGTTAATACAACTAACAGAGGATGGGGGACATAAAGAAGTAGCCGACCTTCCCCTTCGCCCTCGTGGTTTGAGCGCCTGTAAGAACGGAGATCTGCTGTTATGTCTGTGCGATGCAGTTGATTTCCCTATTCATAAAGATGGAAAACGCCAAGTTGTACGAATGGATAAAAAATATAAAATAAAATTGACGATTGAATCTTACGATGGACATAAGTCATTCACTCTGCCTGACAGAGTCAGTGAGAATATAAATGGCGACATTTGCGTTATAGATCGCACAGGAGGAGGAAACAGTCATCTTTGCGTCTTTTCAAGTCATGGAAAATTTCTCTTTTCATATCCGGATGTAGAACTTGAACAACAAGAGCAAATAATTCCAACTAAGATCCAAAAAAAGCATTCGTTCCGAGATGTCTGCTGCGATTCTTTAGGAAATATTATTATTTCCGACGAGAAATACAACGAGATTGTAGTTCTAACCAAACATGGCGGCAAAAAATGTCTGCTTACTCATCGTCTGCAACGCACCGGAGGACTAAACATAAGTCCTCATTTTTACCGACCATCTTGCTTAGGATTAGACGGTGATGGGAAATTATGGGTGTTACAAAAACAAGGGATAACCGTTGTGGATTTGTACAGTCAGTGGGTGCCAGGTTACTCCAGACAACCACTGACAGCGAATACTCCACGTTAGAAGTAGCTTGTATCATTTTCACTGTAGAATTAGGAAAAATGAATGGATGACTAGTCACTATAGAAACATTCTTTTGTAAATGCTTTCATTAAAATTTCACTAGTGGTTTTTATTTTTTTTATTTCATTCAAAGTATCCAGTAATGAGATCTTGAAGTGTAGTTAATAGACTTATATACACACAATGACTACTTTTTCACATAAGAGTATAACAGGTATAAATGGCACTCATATATTATTTGTTCTAGAGACATCAGGCGAAGTTATTCAATCAACTCCTATCAGAGACGTCAGTCAAAAGTATACAATCGATATCTACTAGAGACGTCAGTCAAAAGTATACAATCGATGCCTAGTAGAGACGTCAGTCAAAAGTATATAATCGATACCTACTAGAGACGTCAGTCCAAGTTATACAATCGATGCCTATCAGAGACGTCAGGCGAAGCGATTCAATCAATACTTATCATCCATTCGCCTATATCACCCTGCTCAGTCGCTCCGTATTTCTCGTATCATGGCTTTAAGACGTGAGCAGACATTATCAGCGACGTCACAATGTCTGAAGAGATATTATCGGTAGTCCCACTTTCTGTATCACTGTATCAGCTCTTGATAAAATTGCATAGCACGGCTGTGTGACGTCAAATGCATCAACCCGGCCTAAATAACTTTGACCTGGACATATCACCGACGTCATAATGTATAAACCGACTTTGATAAGTTTGACCCGAACTTATCAAGTCATCTTCCGGTTTGCTGGTAAAACAATGAAAACACTTGATTCTATCATGCAAAATACGTTAAGACAACCTGATAATCGGCACCAATCAGCGACGTCACAATGTTTGAGAAGACGTTATCAAGCTTGATTTCGTCAAGCGCAAAACTGTCTCAGGGATGGCAAAAAGAACAGTAATAGAACGATGAACAGATTATCGGTTTTCTACGTATAGCTATCGTAAAATATCAGCCGCTCGATACAATGTGAAGCTTCTTTGATCCCTAAAAAGGTTCACATTGTGACTCTTGGCTGAATGTTTCTCGTATTATACGACTTTACGCATGAGTAAATCGTATCAGCAATATCGCAATATGAAAGTAGACGCTATCAGCGACGTCACAATATGTAAACGTCTTTAAAAAATGTCCTCTCGTATAATTCATGTCAGTACCGAATCACTGTTTACTAAAGCATTATCTGATTCTTCAGCAGAAGTGTTTGTTTCACTTGATTCTTACCTACATTTCTTGTGTACCGGTAATTGCACTGTAGTCTTCAAACTTTATTTTCAATATTTGTTTCATGTGAGTCATGACCGTCATATTTTTGTTGTCGATAACAATCGACAATATCAGGGAGCTGGTTTGGTGTCTTACTTCCGTTGCAGGTTTTTTTCTAAGCTTTTCTGACTATACACCTTTCCATATATAAGAAAAACACTGATAATAATAAAAACTGTTTCCTTTCATGAATCATAGAAAAAACTTATTATTGAGCATGTATTTCAGTGGTTTAAATAACACTTAAAAACACAAAGAAAGAAGAAGAAGAAACATTAATAAGAAGATGATGTATGATTGCCAATATAGTCTTGATCCGTGTAAAACAATGATAGCTTAGCCACACAAAAAAGTAAAGGACAGACTGATCACTCTAATAACATTTAAGGTACACATTTTACTGTACAATATGCCATTTCAACAATTAATGTCTCTCGAGTGATGCTCGAGCCACGCAGATACTAGTTGAAGTCTTACTGTAATCACAGTAGATGGAGGCATTGTAGTATTTACATGTTTTACAAATTAGCAGCGTCAGTAAATGCGTTTTGGTAGTACTGACCTCTTGTATTTATACGTCTTTGGATTTCTACGATTCGACCCTGAGTGTTTCATAGAAAGGTTGCCCCAAAAAATCTTAAAACGTTACCAATTTTGTTTTCCGATCCATTGGCGACTAGTATCATCTGTCCAGTAATCAATGCAGCAGGGATATACAGATCATGAATTAGTAAAACCTTAAACTATAATTTACCACAATTACAGATTTATTAAACATATATGTATGTGTGTGTATGTCTCCATATACATGCAAGAAATTGATAAAAAGTGGTATTCTCATCAAGCGTTTTGCGGTAATATTGTGAATTTAGCTTACAAATCTAGGAACTGTCCTTCAAACTTAAATATATCTCCTTTTACTTTTGTATATATACAAGTCCTCTATACCACCATTGGTTAGTGTCCCCATGTATTTACAGACCTTTAGATTTTAATACATTTGGATCGGAGGGTGACATGTTGCAAGACAAAATTTCTCTCCCTTAGTATCCTACATACCGTTGTTTTCTAGCGGTAGTCCAAATTTCCCTCCATTCATCCCTACCTATTGTGTTAATAGTTTCTCGTCCTGAATTATCATGAAATAATTGCCACTGGACGTTAAGCAAGCAACAAGTAATCACTCAATCATTTGGATCTGTGAATTCTGGAACAACGATTTATATAGAAGGTTGATATATTTGATTTACTAGTACTCTACTATTTTTCTGAAGAAAAAATGGGTAATTAGACAATAGAGGAGCCAGAACTTTTTACCCCTTCAGAGCATATAAGTTCATCTCCAGATGTAGTGGGTTTTGTGTTGCTCAATTAGTGTTCTGTTTGCTGTTTTGTGGACTGTTGTCATTTCGTCTTTTTTTCAATGGTGTTGTCTTTCCTTTTTCGTCTTACGATTTTGATTGCTCCTATCTTTTCAACACAAACAGCACCTTGTGAAAAAACTACAAATTTAAAGAGGAAAAGTAAGATTTCAAGAGAGCAATTAAATTAAGCTAAGTTTTTTTAAACTTGCATTGTCCGGGAGTCACAAATGTTTAGTAAAAACACCTATATCTGACAGTTTTTGGAAGTAATGGCATCTTTGTAACATGTCTGATAATTTAATAGTATAAAAAAAAATCAGAAAAAAATTTCATTTGGTAATCTTGTTGAATTAAGTAAATCCTGTTGTATTAAGTGAATAATGTTGAATTAAGTGAATCTTATCACATCGTAATTCTATATTTTTACATTGAATATAGCGTAAGCCGATAATGTGAATATGTTGTTCATTCAAATCATGGAAAAATCATTATATTCTTCCGTTTAAGTTGAGAAATCACTAATGTTTTAAGAGTTGTAATCCTTTTTGAATTGAACAAATTCTAATGAAAAGTGACAATTATAAAGTTAAATGATGTTCGGTCGAACCGAGGATTTTCAGATGGCGGAAAAAGGGGCGCGATTCCTTACGTCAACATACTGTCATATATCTTAAGAGTACAAATCAAAAACTAAAACCTTCCCCTGCATAACTATCCAAAGTTTTCCGGTTCTGTCCAGAACTATTCTCGACGGAGCAACTAAATTGATTCTTTTCTTCTTCAAAACTTTCGAAAATCGGACGATTTCATCTCCGTCACTGTTAAGCACAATGATGTCATTGTTCTTCTCGTCTGCCACGAAAATGTTAGAAAATGAGTCACAACAAACATCGCTAAATGAAACTTTCTTTGGCTTGGTGGTTGCCGTGAAGTCGTACTCGGCTGATTCATGGGGATAACTAAATTTTAGGGTCCCGTCTTTGTTTAGAACAAACAGCCGACTGCTCCCGCCTCCTATTCTGTCGATTACGCAGATGTCGCCATTATCATTCTGAACGACGCGATCGGGAAGCGTATATTCAACATTATTCAAATCATCGCTATTTACTATATCCAATTTTTCATCCATGCGAACTATTTTTCTTTTACCTCTTTGTGTTTTGAAATCAATAGTGTCACAAAGACACATCAATACTTCGCCATTTTTGCAAACGTGAATTCCGCGCGGAATAGATCTTAATTCTTTCTTTTCAGTTACACTTCCATCAAGTCTAAATTTAAGTATGGTCTTATTGTCAGCGTCTGTTCCAATAAATTCATTTCCAATTGATTGTGACATGTCGTAAATACGGTGATCAGACATTTCCGTTTCCCGCGACTGTCCGTTTGCCGCCATTGTAATAAGAAGTCTCTGTCTTGTCACCGGAACCATTAACATCGTATCGCTTTTAACTGTACTTGCTGAGCGAATATCGTACTTCAGTGGCAGAGCAGCTACCAAATAAGGTTTCATTCTCCACGATGAAAATGGCTTTGCTTTAAGCAACGCTTTAGACAGTAATTCATCTCTAGTTTTTAAATGAAGACCACCGCTGAATACACCTATCATCTTCTCTATTGAATTATCATATGAACTTCCTGATACGAATTCTGGAATTTCGATTTGCGCATGACGCTTTTTGTATTCTTGGATATCCCAGTTAAGTTGAAGTCTTGTTTGTATTAATGCCGCACCTTTAATGTTGCCAGATTTTACAACCTCTTCTGCAGACGCCAGTGATTGTTCAAGTGCTTTTATTCCACTTGTCATTTTCTCTTCTAAATCAGATAGGAATATTCTAGCTCTTTCTTGGTCTTTTCGGCACATCTGTAACATCTGATCACGTGATTTTTCTATCATTTTAATCAACTCAGTCGTTCGTGTCATAATTTTGTTCATGAGCTGTTCGAAATCTTTAGCGGACTGTTCTTTTGTTTGACCTATGCTCTTAATGTGTTCCTTTAAACCTGGCATCGTGCTATTTTTGACCAGTGGAATCTGTTGAGACAGCTGCATTTTGTCTTCCAAACTTTGCTTGTTCAATGACTCTAGATCGTGCGGTTTATGTGAATTTTTAATACATTCGTCACAAACCAGTTGGTCACATGTTTTACAAAACATGACAACAGGTGTATCGTTGTGTTCTTGGCAGACGACATCTCCTCCTTTCTTCCTTTGAACACTGTTTAGGAATTTTCTTTCTGTGGAGCTCATATCAAACGTCACTTCACAACCTACATTGAAATATTTTTACAGCAGTCAATTATTTTACCATTACACACACACACACACACACACACACACAACAGAACCGTACAGATGAACCTAGCGGCTGCTTAATTCTTGAAAACAACACGTTTACACGGAGAAATTAGCTGAAGACGATCTTACCTATTTCTACCTCCGCCATGTTGGGATCGTGGTAACTGCTATTACCACGATCAGTTTAACACCAGTGATTACAATTAATTGTAAAAAAACTGTGCATTACCACTCATTCATCTGACTAATTCAAAATCCTACATAATTATTTACTACTACACTAAACATACCATGATGTAATGTGTTTATCTTTTATTGTTCCTTGTATTACTTGTATTCTATACATACCATGATGTAATGTGTTTAGCTTTTATTGTTCCTTGTATTATTATGACTGCTGATTGCAAATACCCAATATTGGACCTTGATTTGAATAATAAGATATTTTATACTATACAATAATATTAACCTGTTAATATTTTGTATGAAATTTTGGTCTTAAAAAATTGTTTCAGATGTAGGCATTTGCAATATACTGTAAAGTCAACGTAACTGAGTCTCGATTAATCGATGCTAGTAAGAATCAAATTCAAATATTCCTTGAAAATATGCTACGCTTCGCATGATATTGAAATTTTTGCTAGTCCTGAAACTGACATGGAATATCTTTTATTTATGTATCTTTCAAACAAAGACGCCAACAACTAATACTATAATGACAGAGTATTAATAATTCACGTCTTACGCTGTATCATTACACACAGAGAAAGATGAAGTGTCTCACCTTTTGCTTTGAAAACAAATTTACAAAACATTTACAATCATTCATAACTTGTTTACTCTATTATGTAATTTTGAAACCATTCGAAGCTGTCTCTGTGTAAAATCACTTTTTAATCAACTCAAATACTGTACACTAATAGATATTCCCTATCTGTACATGAAAAGCAAATATTTCTCTGTTTTGGGGGGTTGAATGTTTCTGAAATTAATCTTTACAATTTGTCTCATAGTTGCAGCCCAGTGTCAACGAAACTCAATTTCAATGACCAACATAATGTAATTGCTCCATGAAAAATACATAATTGTATTTGTAAATCAATTTGATGGCAACAATAGTAATTGGACAGCTATTACGATATAAAGTATCTTGACTTTGACAATAAACAGGAGCAAGGTTGACCAGTCTTGGTATAGTTAGATCATGAAAAAAATACAACAAAATGTTATATTATGTACATCAAACATTGGTGAAATGAAGCAATGTAAATAGTTAAACATACCTTATTTAAAACAGAACATTTAACGTTCGTATGTCCCTGTATCTTATATACAATGGTAACACAGACAAAACTTTATCTGCAAACAATCTTAATGTTTATAGTTGACTGCATATTAATTAAGATGTTATAATGACCGAAATATAAACATATTGTTCTATTAGATACAGATTGTGTTCTTTGTGTTACCTTACATGTTAATAAATCAAGTATTATATCGATAGGTCTCACCTAAAAAAATAATGTATCTGGCTATGTGGTAAAAAGTTCGTCTTAATCGAGACTTATTAACCCCAAAAAAACAAAGAAAAAATCTTAATGAAGTCACTCCGAAAAAGGTTTCAATAGATTTGTTTTATCAATATAGATTCAACGATAATATGGTGCTATGACGTCAAACAATTCAATTTTTATTTCAGAAAAAATGTCTCCAATCATAAAAGATTTCTTCTACGTTCCAGCAAATCTTATTTGAATTTTTAAGTGTTTTACAACTTTTGAATGAAACACTGATAAATAGAATAAGCAGATATAGGGTAGGTCATCCACAGTTAAACAGACAGTAACCCAACGACAAAAAAATTAAACAGAAATGCCTTCGAGAGTCCAGTGTCTCTGACACCGTTTAAGTGTCTTTGAGATATGCCAAGCTAAATGGCCCAGGGTCTAGAAGCAAACAAAACAAATAGAAACTAACGAATGAAAATGCCACTGGGCGATAAGCAAGCAACAGTCAATCAATCAAATGAAAATAATACTTTAGAATTGGTGCGTTCGAAGCTTTTTTTGAATTTACCTTTACCAGGAACGTGCAAATGATAAACCTTTTAAGCCGGGATGTATACTTTTATAATAACTGTATTTACAAAAATAAGGGTATGTGGTACATGTACATATATGATTACCAATGCAATGAGACAACTATTCATCAAAACCCAAAGGACGAGCATGTAAACAACTATATGGACTCGAGAGACAATTATTTTCCACACTTATGAGGTGATGATAAATAAAACAGGAACGGCCATGCAATTTACACGGTTTCACTCATCAAATGAAATACTTGAGAAAAAAATCCACATTTTCTCATTAAAATCAAAATGTTAGTCAGTGCTTTGTATAACTTGCTTTCTGCTTAAAGCTATTTTTACAGACTGTTTTGTTGGTTTTTTTTAAATGCAGCGCGGGCATCATTATGTATTTATTCGTTTTGTATTTGAAAGGTAATAAGTATAAATTTTAGTTACGATATTATCGTTAGCTTGTTTTCAAATTTCCTTCTTATTTATCTTATCTTAAATAGATAATAGATAGGAATATACGATGATATACAATACCATAGGTCGAAAAAGGGTATTTTTTAAAATAAAATTAACACCATGCCCATAAGGAGGAAAAATCGAAAAGACGAACAATGGTCAAGACCACTACACAGAAAACCAAAGATTCATCAACACTCTCCTCACAAGCAATTCTTAAACTATTGATGTGTATGTGTGTCAATGAATGAAAGAGAGTTATATGTATCTGTGGTATCCATTGTTTTGTAAAATCTATCAAATTTACAGCATTGAACCATCTTTAAGCTTTATTTTATGATAGTATTACATTTAAAAAAGTATAAGATTTCTTAATAAAATTATTTGAACCTCAAACTACATCTACATTGATGGAGCTATTGCGAATTTTAGAAAAGAACTAAGAATATTGACATATTTATTCATGTTCCAAAACACCAGTTTTAGAGCTTGCTCGATGAGGTCTTTATGCATTCACTGGCAAATAATTTCGTCCAGAATATATATTTCAAAATATGTCCTTTGACGTGATGTATCTTACCTAATAAAAGTGTAACAAGAGTCTCCTAGGAGGCTGCATCGCTAAGCTGGCATTTTTGCCAAACATAAATTGATACATTGCAAAGATAATGTGAAGAATTGAAACCACTATGGACCATATCCGTCTCTCTGATTATTTTTGGTGGACCAAGTTTCCGTATATCCGACCATTATCGTTTTATTGAATAAAAGCAGAAATTAAAAAAATGATGAGGGTTTAATTTCTTACTTCTTGTGAAGTATTAACAAATAACAAATTAAATTGTTTCAAGGGCACCAACATATATAAGGAGTCAGTTGACTATTTCCTTCATGTTGACGGATAAGTAAATCTTATCTTGCTGATCATTTTAATACATATAAAAAGTTCTCTCTGTCTACTATAGTTTCTTCCAAAAAATGCAAACGGTGCGAAAAATCATCCTTCGATGGCAATAAATGCTGCAAGGAATTAATCAAATATTTCTGCCATGTTGACTTAGTTGTAGATCTCATTGCTTTTTTGCTGCTTACAGTTTTTCTGTTTATCATAGTTTCTGCAAAAATAGCAAAAGATTGAAAATAGTCTTTCAAGGGCATTTACTCCTATAAGGAGTCTTCAGCCATGAAGACACATTTGTAGATCTTACTTTGCTGTCCACAGTTTCCCTCTATCTATCAAAATTTCTGCAAAAAACGCAAAAAATTGCTTAAAAACGTCTTACAAAGGGAAGATTCCTATAAAGGGTCAATTGACGATTTGGCAGTCTTAATCTGGTAATTTTAAATATTCAAAGTTGTTCTTTATAATCTTTTAAGGTCTTCAAGGGGATAACTAAAAACTAAAATTTTGCTTAAAATGGATATTTCACTATATTGAACAGACACCTTGACAGAGAGTATGGGTATATACCCGTGGTCGTGGTGTAATATGAACGATATTCAGAAATCCATGAAAAATACACTGGCTTTCAACCAATCAAAATCCAGCTTACGGTACAAATATGTTGAGAACACTTTAAGAGTTCCTATGACAAAACAATCTACCTAAAGATATCAGCAAACTCCAAATTACTAGTAATTTAAATTACTGGATCAAGAAAATGGCAAGCACATATACCTTTAAGCAAAACATACTGAACACCTGAAAAATATTCATCAAACAGCTATTCTCTTTGGGACTATATTTTATAATTAATATAGACATTACCATACTTGAAAGCCTAATCATACAAAAAACACAGCATGAAATTTCTCTTATCAGTGTTACTGTATAATGCTCAGACAAAAAATAGATATCTGGTAGGTCAAAGCTACTTGTGAGGATGTTGAACTCAGGTAAATTATGACCTTTGATGCTAATAATCACATCTTCTGACACAATTAAGTTACTCAAGCATGTAAAACATATAATAAAATTCTTAAATGGGCATGCTTGATGCAAATGTTCCACTTTCAGTTACTTTTCATAGATGATATCAGGTGACCTTGACCTTTGACCATCACAAAAAAGGGAAATCATTATACCAATGGGAGACAATTGCTGTGTTTGATGGGTCTACATCTCTTAAAAGACCTGTGCATAAAAGTCCCAGATAATGTTAACCTTGGTTTGCTTTTCCTTTAGTTTTCAGTAGTTTTCTTGTAATTTCTGGTTTGGTTTTTAAAGTATATGTGTTTTTTCGATGGGTAATGGTATTGTCATGTCACGGTGAAAATATGTCATTTTGCAGCAAACTAAAAACAACATCTAAATACTTTAAAATTTTATTCTTTGTTCTTATCTGGAACATTTTTAAATAACATAACATTCTAAATCTATTTTAAATATGAACACATTTGGTAAATCATGTGTATCAAAGTACAAAACTCTATTTCAAAAAAAATAATTTACATTTTAATTTTTAAATCTTTTTATAAGTGTTATTTTCAGTAAGTATTTCAAGCAACTTTTTACATATTTAAGTTTTTAAATTCGACAAAAAATTTAGCATTTCACATGTTTTTCAATGGCTGCTGCATTGACCTTTTATTCTTTTAAATAAGCAAAATATGGCAGTAAATTATTCCAAGTTTAGGTATCCTTCACACATAACAAATCCCAACCTTGAAAATGTTTTTGAACGGTTTAAAGATCTAATTATTTGATGTTCAACGTGATGAAGTACTGAAAAACATGTGACTAAGATAGCATTTTCTTTGGTGTCATAGCATGTAGTTTCTGGTACACAAACGTAGCATCCCGGACATGTGAAAAAAAAAATTAAAGTGCCCTGAGCTAAAAAATGATTTTTTTGGTATTGCCTAACAACACAGGGAGGTTCACTTAAAGTCAGTTACTTGACTAATATAAACCTTCAGAACTGAAACATACACAATAAGTAAACGTACTATAAAACATAAACCATTAAAAAATCAAAAATGATCATACCATGTATTGGAATTATATTATAAAACTTATCAAAAATGAGTCAGGTAAAACTGTATAAAAACATCTATAACAATTAAAGAAGTTTGGTAAGAAATATGTGTTAATGAATTTTAACATTGTTGATATGTATCAGTATATTTTTCTTTGTTTTAAAAATTTCCTTGATCAAAAATCTATTCTAGTTCTTTTTCTTTAAAAATGTTTTTTTTTAAAATCAAAAACATTAATAATAGAAAACTTCAGTAAAATGATTTGATATAAATATCATATATTCAGACACACAACTGTTTAAAACTGTGCATACATGCAAGTTATAAGAAAAAATATCTACCATATAAAGGGATATTGCAGAAATAGCGGGAAGACCTCTTAATTAATTGTGATTCACAAGATCTGAATTAATATTCCATGGATGGTTGATTATAGAAGAGTCTTCCTTGTGGGATATCTCATAGGAGACTGACAAATTCATATTTCAACAAAAAGCTTGAAATATATGTTTGCCATTTTTCATAACAATCTTAGTGAAAAAACGAACTAAAATTGAGATTGTAAATTAATATTGACTAGTTAAACAAATGAAATACTTCATGCATGTCGTTCTTTTTTGTATATCCAAGACAGCCATATATATAGTATGTCAGGGAAAACAAAACTATAAGATGATTAAATCAAGAAAAAATTTGGGTCAAAACCTGAATTTGGCATTTATTTTAAAAAGTTCATGAAGAACATGTGTACTATGTTTTTAGTTTCAAGTTGACATGTCTACAACTTCATGGTACACTACCTGAAACCAAAACTTTAACCTGGATGCACAGAATGAAAAACATAATGCCGATCTACTGCCTTGCGCAAAACTAAAATATTGATAAATTTAATTTTTGTGTTTATTTTATAAAAATCTTCTACCAATTTTTTACGAGTACATTTGTGTACTTTGTGTCTTCTCTGATCAGTTAATCAAACAAATCCCAAAAATTTTCTTTTTATTGAAAACAGAATTCAGTGATAAATCATATTACTAGTTTATCAATATGATGGTACATGTATTAAAGGGTATCACGGTCACAATCTAATTTCACAATACATGTTTGACTACAGACTTACTGAACTGGTTATTATTCCAGTGTTTCTTCACAAACTATAATTGGTCCCCATTTATCTCTTCTTTTTTTTTTTGTGAAATAGAGAAAGCGCCTCGAGACTTATTAGCAAAATGTTTTATTTGGGTTTTAATTTCAATATTTCATGGATAGATTTTATCTAGGAAATGAAAAGCCCAATAAGAAATAAATCTAAAATGAAACATTTCTTTCTCAAACTGGGACCACAAAAATGTATCCCTACAAAATATTTTTTAGAGACAAAACTACAAAATTGGAAAGCAACAAAATGTTTTTTTTAAAATATTGTATATAGTTGATGTCATCAGTAAGGGACAGAGGTAGTAGAAAATTAAGAGGTAATAACACAAAATATTTATTGCTTTGTGAAAAATAAATAATTGTACAACAAATCTGTGCATGAGTTAATATATAGCACTAATGGTGCATAAAAAATGTACAAATAATATACAGTGAAAACAGAACACACTGCACAAATAATATACAGTGAAAACAGAACACACTGCACAAATAATATACAGTGAAAACAGAACACACTGCACAAAAAATGTACAAATATACAGTGAAAACATAACACACTGCACACAAAACATAACATGCAAATAGTAAGCTTGAACAATAATTACTGCACCTTCTGTAGATTTTTTTGTTCTAATAATCAGTTTTCAGTCACAAGCTTCTCTCATTAACTATACAGACTACACTAAACTTAGAGTATTTTTCAAACTGCACAAAACAAAATTGCTTAAATAAATAAAAAGTATTGTATTTCACATTCTCAGGTTTTCTTTGATCTTACATCCATTTCTGCTGCATACATTAGTCAGAACAATTGTTGTTCATGAAATTCTGCCTTTTCAATCCAGCATCTTCCTCCTCAATTATCTGATAGTCTGTCTTTGTCACTGGAACAGCACTCTCTGTTCACACACACTAAATCTGCTGTGTTATAAAGGGGAGATAACACATTATCTAGCAAAGGTCATCCAAGGGAGACAACTCATGAGCCAAATGTTATCAAGGGAGATAACATGATACGTCTGTTCAGATCAGCACACCTGTCTCTGAACAATCACTCATAGAACTGAAGTGTTGCAGTGTTCCTCCAGCAGATGTCACTTTCTGTTCTAGTAAACTTTTCCAAGTAAATTTCTGTTCCATGTTGGGAGCTCTGAATATTAACTTGGCATGTCTCATCTGATTGGTGGCAAAATCTCTCAACAGGAAATGTAAAACAAACTCTGTACCTGTCAAAAAAATAGAGATCAAATAATTAATATGCTAAATATATTTGGCAGACTAACAATCAAATATTATTTGTTATTACTTTTATTTATTAATATATCATATCATAAGTTATTTTTAAGAAGTCAAACTTTCATAATAAAATAGTTCATTCTAAAATTTACACATATAATACAATAATACGGAGACATGGTATGATTGCCAATAGGACAACTGTCCACCAGAGTACAAAGGACAAGAGAAACAACATATACAGCTATTTAATGTGCTTACCATGACTTCTCAGAGCCTCAATTCCATTCAAGTCTTTCAGATTAAGTGGTTCATGAATGACTTTCAGATGTCCATCACGGTCATGTTCAGTTTCCACCAACAAATCAGAGAACAACATCACATGTACCTGTAATTAAAAGAAAGTGTTTTTTTTTTTTACAATAGATTCATTTGCACAACAATGAAAGATTTGATTGAAATTTTATCTGTACACAATTAAAAACTCAATAAAAACTTCTCCAAACACTGTTAACTTATAAAAATTTATATATACTCTTGTATTGAAAGAACTATTCAATAGTCTTCCACTTTATTAATAAATCTTGGATTTAACTATAAATTTTGAGTTCCTCAGATTGAAATTTAAAATTTTGTGAATTACAGAAAGGGGAAATAACTCTTACCTTCATCCACTGGTTGCCTTCACATTTAAACAGTTCACCTGCATAAATCAAGTGTCTTTCTTCTTTACACAGCTGAAACACCTAGAAAAAAATGTTTGAATTTTATCAAAATGGTCCACCATAGCAAATTCCTTCTTAAAATCAAAAACTTTTGCCTTCAAAGATATATTTTTAAAACAATTTTTTTTTTAACATTTTCTAAAAAATGGAAATCAATTTATTGTTTCTATAATTTTTAATGTTTAACTATTAACCACATTTTTTCCCTTCAAATTAATCTTATATAATATTCCTTTAAGATCTTATTAATCCTGAGTGTATCATATCAAAACATTTCATTCGAGGAACAAACGACAGATGAGAATGAAAAAATTCAGTTCAAATTGCATTGATAAACACAAACCCCTAACAGAATCCACTCACATTTTTATACCACTTTCATTGTTCAAATGAGGAGGTCTTAATAGCTTGCTGTTCGATGTGAGTCAAGGCTCTGTGTTGAAGGCCGTACTTTGACCTATAATTGTTTACTTTTTACACATTGTGACTTGGATGGATAGTTTTCTCATTGGCACTCATACCACATCTTCTTATTTATATTTACAATAGGGGCTTATTGAAATACTCATTAAGTTATATAATATACTTACAGGAACATTTGGTGGGAAAACCAGTTTATCCTGGATCCTCATTACTTCAGAATCCATCGATCTCAAAGAACAGGAAACTGGAACTTTGGATGGATGTGAACTACTGCTGTCAGAACTGGATGACCTTGACTTGTGACCTTCGGAAGCTGATGACGAGGTTAATGACGACAGACTTAAAACACGATCAACACAGCTGTAGTTTGAGATTCCATTAACACACTCTTGTAAAACTAAAATAGAGAAGGAATAAAATATAGTATTGTGAAATTATCACTTCTTTTTGGATATTAAATTAATAAGCATTGGTGATTTTAAACTTGAAGCATTTAATACTACACATATATGAAATTTGTTTTTTTATGTCAGATCTTTGAACTACTGTATTAAATTCTTTCATAACTAGTCAAAGAATTTAACAGCATTTGGCACATGTCAATAACTGGACAACAGAAAAAGAGCTCTACATGTCTGTTTTGTGACCTTATCAATCATATATTTTTATATTCCAATGGCATTTTCCCCTCATCTCTTTTTATACATATACTTCACAAAAAATTTTAAGTTACAAAAAAATAGACCTTTTGATTGAAGTATGTTCTTCAAAAAAGATTTCACTGTTCACAAATGATGGCTCTGTTAAAACTATAGGATAACCTACCTTCTACAACATGTTTTAATCCCTGGAAGTCTCGACTCTGATTATCTGTATTAAGGAAGATTTCTTTAAGTGTCTGGTATAGTTCATTGACATGTTGTACAGGTCTGTAGATAAAGGCACTGATAGATGGCTGACTTGATTGCAGTTTTGGTTCCTAAAAGAAAACAATATACATGTAAGTATGACTTTGTTATTTAAAACTTCGAAAAAAGAATAAAACAGATACTGAAATTCTCAATTTCTGATTAGTTTAAACAGTATTTATTAATGAAAAATTATAACAATGAATTAGTACAATGTTACATGAAATTCAAATATGGGATTCAGAAACAAGTTTGAAAAAAACTTTTATAAATCTGTCTCACGAAAAATCTATTTAACATTTTTTTGCTTGAGTTGACTGCCAAAAATTTCTAATTAGGAGCTGCTTTGACAGTTGTTTGGATTGTGAAATTGAAACTAATTTTTGTTAATCTTCTGTTTCAATTGCATCAAAAATCAGATATGGCATGTTATTTTTAGTTTGTATACATCAGTAATTCTTAAAAACATGAGTATCACATGCTTGATATCATTACAAAGCTGCTAAGCTATTTTTCAAAATGCAATGATGGTGAGCCATTTTGTATTTCTGTTTTCAAATATAATATTCTAATTTTAACACATTTATTGACCTACCTTGACAAACTTGATAAATTCTGGATTTTTTTTAAGTTCGGCTAGTGAATGATTGGCTCCTGCTATTCCTCTAGCATACAAATCATAAGCTTGACAGATCATATTCACCTGAAATACAAAGCATTTCAATATATATCAATCCAATATATATAATACATAAGTCCATCATGGCTAATCAAGATTACTGTAATAAATGGTATTAATGCGATTGGAATTCAAAGATTATTACAAAAAATAATGTAGAAAGGCTTTATTTACTTTATACTAGAAACAGCTTTTTTGAAGAGTGCAATTATAAAAACATTTAATTTAACAAGTTTTAAGGAAATATAACTTACCTTTGATTGATAGATCATACAGAGATGTTGTACAAACTGGTGACCATTATCACTACTGGACACTGATGTACTGGTGTCTGTGTCTGATGAGTTCATGTTATCCTGCATCTGTTTTACATGATATTCTGATATTGTGACCAACTATAATAAAGAAGCCAAGTTATTATAAGTTAGGTACATAAAATGTTCCGAATTAAGATCAGTCTAAGGTCCAATTTTTTTTTTATTTCACTGAAAATCATAATTCAAAATTCCTTATAAGAAAACTTTTTGGGCCAGCTAACATTTCTTGGAAATTTTGGAAGGTGATTATTTTTCATGTGAAGTTAGTTATTATTGTAGTTCTTTAACATTTTTTAATGTTTAAAGAAGTTGTTATCATGATTTCTGCTTTAGATTTTATAAAATTTGTACTTTCCACAGGGAAGTTATCTCAAATATGACACATTCCCAGGACATTTTTTCCTTGTCAAAGATGTCAGCAAAAAAGAATGAAGGTAAATTTTTGATCTCCTTTTCATAAGCAGATGTTTTACTATTATGATAAAACTTACCTTTTCAACATTTTGGAAAAGTGCTGAGTGTTGTAACTGAGATAGAATACAGTGACGTAAAGGTCTTGAGTATCTTTGCATCCCAGCATGCATCAGGTCAATGAAATCCATTTCTACAGTGAGCAGACGATGAATGGCTTCCTGTCTTCTCTTTTCTGTTGATTGCACAGTCTGTAAATGTTTATAAATTTTGTTATGTCTACACAACTATTAACTTTTTTCTACACACATAACAATATAAGATTTTGGGTGTTATTTTTGTTTTAGATTCTTGCCTTTAAAAGTGTCCACCAAAAAAATGATACATGTTTATACTACAAAATATGACATCAAGGCTGAACTAAGATTCAACAGTTAAACTAAAACTTTTTATGGGAGTATCTGAAAATATTACAAGCAAACAACTAAATAAATAAATCATGTTTCATGGTTGCAGATTATTTTATATAAATTCCCTGAAAAATTGTCGATTAGAACTGTTCAAGAACTGTGTTTTTTATCCATAGGAATAAGGTCCTTACCTGATAGCCATTACAGAGAAGTGGAAGAGGTGTGCTGGTTATCAGGTTACTCGGTAATGAGTAAATCCCCTCGTCAACAGAGAATTCATTCTCTTTACAGTCGTTATCGGAGTAGTCTGCATCAGATCCATCATGGCAATCACGTGTGTTTCTCATGGCAACATAGTTTTTAGTCTGATAATCTGGTACCCTGTTAATAGGATAATCCAGTCCTCCTATGTTCTGATACTCTGTCACTCTAACATTCTGCTGATGAACTGGTACCCTAGGGAAGTCTGTAAGCTTTCTAGTATGCATGTTTTGGTAGGTATTACAGTCATTGTTTTGGTAATTCTGCATAGCTCTGTAGTTCTGGTAATTCTGTAATTCTCTCATGGGAAGATAATCATAGGCTGACATAGAAGGTTGTTTATTGACTTCAGTCTTATCTAATGTTTCGCTGGAAACCTGTTTTAACCTTTGAACTTCTACGATGAGATGTTGTCCTCCATTTCTGTTAAAAGAAAAACAAAATATTGACATTTAAATACCCAACAAATTGTCCATCAGTTAATGCTTAAGATTATAGCCTAACTTCCGTTGGGTTTAATATATCTTTACAGATGAAATATTTTCAAAAAGTCAAATTCTAAATTTATTATTTTTCCTTTCTTCAGTTTAATTCAGAAAGAAAAATCTTAGTTAGAGTAAACTTTCGAAGAAGGTCCAGGGGGAAATATTAAAATTTTAACCAACTCATTGAAATATCTGCATGAAGGTAATGTTCTATTCACTATACTTACTTGACAAGCTTTGCCACACTGCCAGCCTGTGACCTTGACACATTCTGCCCATTGACTTTGATGATACAATCCCCAGGATATAAACCAGCTGTCTCAGCAGGGGAAGCTCGGTCAACTCTTCCTACTTTTACAGGGGATTCCTCCACAACAGAAAATCCATAACCATGCTTCCCTCTCTCCAATGTAATCTAAAAATATAATTTGTAAAGCATTTAGTACACAATACATATAAATTAAAAACAACTAGTTTTAAAATTCAAAAAGCAATTCTACAACATTCATGGATACAGGTATTGTTACGAACTTAAAAAGCTGTAAAAATTTACATCAATGCCCTGTTAACTTCAAGGGCCTTAAAACCCCCCTTTCAATCGTTTGTAGCATAGTTTTTAAATTGTTATCATTCTGCTCAAATATTTCTACTGGTAAATTGTTTTTCTGTTTATTTTTCTTTCACACTTATAACACTTCCAGAGAAACTTGTAAGTAAAATACATTTACATATTAAATCATAGAATTTGTATTAATAAATGATTACAAATAATTCTTGTAACAACACCGATTCTATCAAATGTTAAAAGGGAGATAACTTTACTCACTGTAAGAGATTCCATTCCCCAAACATCTTGGTTAACTGGTGGGACTGGCTGATCTGTAAACCATTAAATATAATCTTAATACAATCATACATGTAATTGGAAAAAATTATAATTATTTTCTGAACCAATTCTAAGGAATTTCTGTTTTATTTCATGCAGCATTTTTGATTTTTTTTAAATATTTTTTTCTTAATCATGGTATGCATCATTTTTTTGCAAATGTACTTCAAATAACTTACTTTTCTTGAACATCAATCAATCATAATGTACAAAATAATGAAGTTTGGTGAATATTCAATACTGAATGTCACTTCACAAACATTATATTCATAAAATTGTTTTAATTCTTAAGATTTCTTTTAAAGTGTTGCCATTTCTAAGAAGCACTGCTGAGTATTATTTATTCAAACTCTCGATATCTTTCACTTAAACTTTCTCTGTGACTATATACAGTAAACAAACATGTAAAAGACTTACGTTTGACTTGCAGAGATCTCTGTTTACTTGATACTTGTAAATGTTTTTTTCTCCCAATCTCTTCTGTTAACAAGTAGTACCAACCAGTAATATCCTAGAATATACACAAAAAAAAATAATTTTACAAACTAATATCACAGTATTTTACAGAGATATCCTGGTAACAGTAGAGTTTAGTTTAAAATAGGTATGTGAAAAACTAAAGGTTCAAAATATATCTCGTAAGTTATAGGTACTGATCACATGTATTGTAATTTTCTTAGAGGTTCCCTCCTTTACTGACAGTCATAGACCATTTCTATTTATCATTGTTTAATAAAAAGCTAAATAATCAGATCATAATATCTTTAACCATGACAATGAATGTTTATAACATAGATCCAAATAAGAAAGGAAACAATAATTTCTCCAATGTTAAATTAGGCTAAATTATAAATTTGTAAATAATTCTATACATGTAGTTTGTCTCTGTCTGAAAGTTCCTACTCTTTTCTCATTCATGACATACAAAAATTAATGTGGCAAAAATATGAAATATTCAACTGGATGTCTGTTTGCCCAGGGGACACATATTCTAGTCTAACCTAATTAAATACAGTTTAAGGTAAAAAGGGGCGTATATAATTACAGCTTACCTTGTTTGGATTCAGCAAGTGTCTGACTCCAAATGACATGCACCCAAGAAATTCACACATGCTAAAAATCAAAAATAATTAACTTTTAAAAATAAAGTGTAACTATGCATAAATAAGTCAGAAAAACTTCAAAAGACAAATTTGCGCCCATTTACCTGATAAAATCTAAATGTGTCCATTCTGTAAAATAGATTTTAAATAAAGTTTCAATTTGATGATAGTTAAAGTCTTGTAAAGGTGTCAATTTTATTCACAAAATTTCAATTTTCGATCATTCTTAACTGTGTTAATAATACACTGCATTGTTACTTGTTCTCAATCGATAAAGATCAAAGATTCACACATGTGAGATCAAAGAGAAATTATCTTGCAAATTATCCTCAATGTACCTGATAAATATCTTTTAGCAGATCAATATCTATTGACATTTGCTACCAAATAGTGACAAATTATTGGTTGTGAAAGAAAAAAATGTTGATAGTTATTCAAGATAAAATTACCTTGTGGACTGATCCTTATTCCAAACAGAAATATATAATCTCTTGTGATAGTCTTCTTCTAAAAGCTCACTGAAAGGAGAAATAAAAAATTTCAAAGTTCAAGTCAATACTTACTTTTTTTTTAAATAAGTCATAGTATTTGTTTAAAATGTACCAAACGAAAGCTTCATATAGAACTCAAGCATTCTAATATTTTTTACATGAAAAAAACTCTCTAGGTTCAAAATTTTTTTAAAAAAATATCAATTTCAAAACCTTTTTTTCCATTTTGATATTTCTTATCTTTATATATATTCACTATATTCAATTTCAAATTTTGATGTTAAATAATAATCCATAATTTTTACAATGTCCATCTCAGTATTAACAGCAGCTGTTGTTGAAAATCAAATTTATAAATGCTGGCCAGACTTTTAGAAACAATGTAATAAAACTCTGAATCAAATGTCTAAAAATCACCAAGGGCTTTAATTTGTCTCTACATGTTTAGAATTATTGTAATAAGCTTAAAACATGGTTCAGCAGCAGGAGGCTATAGTCTTAATATGGAAGGACAAATCTTTGGTATTCAATGTTAAATGGATTTCAATATCTCCAAGTGGGAATCATACAGAGGGATTAAAAAGTGACTGACCATTTAATTCCTAACAGGTTCAAACATAAAAATGTTGGAAACAGATGTGGGAAAGAGTTAATTTCAGATGTTCTAGGGACAAAGTACATATTAATGGCGTATTAAAATCTTTGGACTTGAACAAATTTGAAAATAAAGAGATTTGGTATGATTTTTGATAAGACTAATATCATCTGTAGATTAATGGTTGAATAGCACACTAAAAACATATAAGGTCACTGTAATATATTTTCTTTTGAAAATCTATTTATATATATATTATTAAGACTTAAATGCATCATTTTTTTAAACAAATAAAATTGGTAATAAAAGTATGTTTTCTCTGGAGATCAAAATTTTCAGAATACAAAGCCAACTTTTTATGTAAACAAATTTCTAATATTTATCAAGTAGCAGACATACAGAGTCAACAAACAACACAAAAGCCACATTTCTCTCTCTATTCCTCCACTTAAGTAATTGTTATCAACACAAGACTACGTGATAATTTGTCATTCAATAGAACTCTACTATTACATGTATTTCTATAGAATTATGAAGCTACCATTGAGAAAGGTCTTTCATGTCCGTGGATTAAGATAATCTTGTGATCATGTAAACATCCAAGGTGTGAATCTTATAGGTAAAATCTACTTTGATGATCCAAAGTCAGATTAACTTATACTTTGTCATGTTTACATAACATTCAAATTATTAAAATAACTTAGAATACTTTATATTATACTTTTTCATTTGTTAATCTGCAAAGGAATAATATTATCTCTATTCCATATACTTTAATAATTATTAAAAATCTGTACAAACAATACCTTAAAAAACTGAAAAGTTTGGAAATCCATTATTCATTAATTCATAATCCTCAATAATTTTGTTCATATAAATTTAATTATCATTTTTTTGTTATCCCATTCTTTATCCTTAACTTTATTAAACTAATTAGAAATATGCAAATGACTTGGCTAGGCAAATTACAGTGACACTGATTCATCATTATAATGATTGTAAAATGACAACTATAACTTTCTGTTGTAACTTGTTTTAGCCTTTCCTAATGGCATAACTGCTTTGAGCATCTGACATTTTTAAAGTAATAACCAGGGGGAAAAACATAATATAAAACATGCAAATTTAAATTGTCTGTTAGTACTTACAAAGAGAATTTATCATCATATAACGGGTTGTTGGTTTCTCCTCTAACATCAGTTTTACACCTACATCTCTTACTGTCATCAGGAATCAGGGACATCTATGACACAAAATGTTTAAAATATAAACATTGCACATACAGTTCTAGCTAAATTATATTTTAAAACTAAACACAAACAATTCAACGTTTTTTTTTGTTTTTTTTGTTGTTTTTTTTTTAGATATTTAATAAAATGGTAAAAAAGAAAAATCAATGCATCATTGAAGCTTTTATCATTTCATTCTTTTGATCTCTATTTACAATGTCAGATGAAGCTGAAGTTAAATTTGACTTATCTCCCTTTGATTATAATTAACTTACTTTGACAAAAGAATCGCACAATGGTCTCTGTTTTGAGGACAAATGTCTTCCTTGTACAACTGAAAATATAATTTCAATGTTTTGTTAAGTACAAAAATAATCCTGATAATTATAATACACAATAAAGAAGCTTATCTAAATTTATCAAAATAAATTAAAAGTAAGTGCATAAACTTCTCTGTCTTTGAAGATGCTTCATATAAAGCTACATTAACAATCAAATCAGTTTTTGAAGTATATAATCCTTTTAATCTATTACATCATAGTTATTTTAGGACACTTTCTAGATCTATCAAAACAACTTTCGCTTAGACAGTTAGTATCCCAAGCTGAAGAAGACAGCAGGATATCTATCAAAACATACTAATTAATTAGTAAGCTTACCATGCACAGTTAGAAGTCCAAAATTCATATAGGCTGAAATCTTTAGCTGTCCTGAAAAAAGAAAAAAAACTGATTTACTTAAAATCAGATTATTTCATGTAAATCTATATTGATTTAAATTCAAAATGTGTATTTTTATACAAAATCCTTGTGCTCAATTCATTCTCTTCATTTTCTTGCACAGCTTCTTAATTGCAACATTCCACTTTTTTAAACCCATGTACAACCATTTCAAGTCTTTAACATTGTTTAAGATAGGACTAATGGCGACAGGGCACAGTTTAAAGATGATGGGCAAATTATTTCAATTACTTAACTTGTCTAAAATGAACAAAAATTATCAAGTTTATTGATAATAAGTTTAAATAATTGAAAGAATAATGTCTCTTTCTATGTTTGAAACTATTTTTTTACTGTCAAAAACCTTTTTTTAGTTTTTAAAAACTGATAGCTTCAACTGTTTGTTAAGCACTGAAAAACAAATCATTTCGTTTAGTAGAAAAATGCACTGTACAATAATTTATAAACATGGATTTTTAAAAGGTTACATTTCTACTAAAAAGTGACTTAATTAATCTTAAAAATATTAAACTTAAATATTTTACATTAACTGAAGACTAATATCATACCTTTAGTTAACATTCCTTTTTTCGAAACACTAATTTCACTATTTAGATAATTCACCATCATTGAAGAATTTCTTGTCATTTCATAAACTTGAGTTAAATATCCTTATTTCAATTGTAAACATATAGGTGCAATCCAAAAATCTTAAAATCACTTCCAACTAATACATCAAAATTCCATAATAAGATCATATGCTACTTGCAAGATGTTTGTTTACATTTTATCTAATTATCATATACTTCTGATTAATGAAGGATTTTGATTGGTCAATATTTTTAAACTTGTATATTTCACCTGTTGATCACCTAAGAAATTAACACAGGTGTAAACTTAGACACTTTCTTGAGTACCAATACATGACACTTTATGATTATATTTATGCCAAAGTTCAACAAATTATAATTTGTATGAGTGACATTTTCAATATGTGAAGACCTCCAAATCATAAAGTTTTATAATTTTGAGGGTCCTCAGTTTACAAATTTGTATGAATTTATCAAACAAGTGGCTTTGTTCAAGATTAAATTTAATCAGAAATCAGCAATATATAACTATTGCCCTTGTCAAGTATCAATTAGAGTGTTGAAGTCATACAGGTTAACAGTAATTTGTAACTTATAAAGTAATAAATTTTTCAAAGTATCAGAAATATCTACCTAATAATCATATTTACATATCTTTATAACTTTGAACAGTTGACCAGGTAATACTTCAAGAAAGCCTTTTAACTTCACTTTATAATCTATTACATTTACAACAATTTGTGATTAAAAATTATACAGTGTTAATAAATATTGATACATGTATAAAGATCATGCTTCATTGCAAAGTTATAGTATTGCTTAAAGAAATCTATTCAGAGACAATATGCTGCTTAATTTGTTTATGATAACGTACTCTGTATCCAATGTACATATATGATTTAAATGGTCAGTTACAGGTATTGACCAGTTTCCTTATGTTCTTAGTAATTATAAAATTGGTAAGGATTAATCAGTCGTAAAATTATCAAGTTTGTGAAAGAAAATTATTATTAATACAATGCAACAATTTGATAAAAAAAATTGTTACTTTTTTTTTAACAATAAAAAGCATATTCAGTACAGTGACTTCAAATTTAAATATAATTCAAACTTCACTATTTGGGAAAAGAGCACCTGTTCCTAAACAGAAGCAGACAATCCACCCTATTATTAGATTAAAGTGGCACACACCTGAACCGTTAAGTGTATAGGAATGTCCTGATGATGAAATTTGAAATTTTGAAAATTTGAAAACAGCTGCTAATGTTAGTAAACATAGTGGTATAGTCAGGGGTGAAAGGTTATTGAACTTAGAGAGCCTATAACACAAAGGACTGTTGCTAAATTATCTCATCACAGTCTTCTTTTTTTCATAAACATCATGATAACAAATAAAATGTATTTCCCCTTCAAGTAGCCCCATGATGACAGTTGCACCTGTCCTTTCTTTGTTAGGCAGGTAAATCTAGGGTTATAAAATGACATATAATAGATTTTATCTTCTACATATGCTGACTGCTGCTCACCTTTATTATATGTAATCTTATCAATCAATTATTTCTTTGAATTTGATTTTGAAATAATCCTCATGACACATCCTTTTATTTGCCCCCAAAAAATGATGACACAATATCATAACCAATTGTAAATAAAGCAGAATAAGAATATAAATTGCACATGGCACTATGAATAAATTGTTTTGTTTTCAAGCAAATCATCAAACCCTTTATAATGTCAGGTATAGCCATGTGACAGCAGGCAGATGTTAAAATCTGTAACAACACTGTGCTTCTCTTACACCAAATTTCTCTACATAATGAGGCTTTACATAAATAAGTCAAGATCCCTTAGGTAAATTAACCTGTGGCCCATTACCCACAAACAAAAACTTTTCACTCTCATATAGTGTTATGCTTTTTATTTGAAAAATTGAAAATTCAAATTTTAAAATCTACTTCAGGTGATAAAGAAATGAAGGCCTCATGTTGGTCACACGACATGCCAAGTTGTTAACCACAATTTAATATCACAACAATAAACCTTAGGTAATCTATTTAACTGTTCACAATGTCTTCTCATACCTGTTGATCTTTACCATTTCAATTTAAATATTTTCATTTAAATTCAATGGTGAGACATTTGAATTTATCAATATACTGATGGAAATGTAAATAAAATTAACAAAAGATGTTTAATATTTTACATTGTAGCTAGCTCTAGATATGGATCTAATTTAGATTATTCAGGGATGTGGGTATGTGATATTTGACTGTGTTTACATGAACAACTTCATTGTTAAAGAACTTCTATGAACCAATGTCTTCTCCAGAAATGTTTAGGAGATCCTTAAACTTTCAGATACACAACAATCTGGACACCTGACACATAATGATCAAGTGCAGATGACTTTGGTTGACCAGTGTCCAAACTAATGTCAAAAGTTATCTTTTATTTGAATTGAATAGATGACCAGTACTCATTCAATATATAAAATTACAGATTCAATTTAAGAATATCTAGTTTGCATTTTTATGACTTATTTAAGTTCTCATAAAAAAGATTTAAAAGTCAGATGAAATTTGACTAATTTTCAATGATGACCGACCATTAATGTAAAAATTCTCATGAAATTGTACTTGGTAATTGGTCTACTTTGAATGACCTATACATTTCACACTTGTCAATGTCAAAATAAGTTCATGTTTCAATGATGAAATATTCCAACTAATTTGTATTGGTAGTGTGGCTTGATAAAGCATTATATTTCAAAATTCTTTACAATCTTTGAGAATTTTATATGGGTTTAGGAGTTCATGAAAGTCACAAGGTGTAAATCATACAGTGTCAGTTAAATCTGATCAGATCAAATTTGTCATAAAAAAATCACAGAATGTAAAGATGTTGCCAACTGTTCAATGGTCAGTTTCCTTTAATTGTCCTAATTATCTCTGACCATCAGAAGACAAGGTTAAACTATGTCCTGGTCAAGTGTCCAGTAAGATCAAAAGGCACAGTAGGAAATTTGACAGTTTACAAATTTTATGGTCATTTTAAAAGTCCAAAGTTTTAATCTTTAGTTTAAATCATCTAGTCTTTGTATGAATGGATGGAGACAGATTCATAAATTTATGTATAACTCATCTCTTAAATCAAAAAAGTCAGAAACATTAAACAAAAATATAATTACTTTAAAGATTCTATCAACATAAGAAGCAAAATGCATGTAGTATAATAAAAAAATCAAGCCACAGTCATCATAAATTTTTGCTACTGTCTTAATTTGCGGAGTAAAAAATCAAATAAATTCTTATTCAAATTTGAATACTGATAATACATATTTTATTTTCAAGAAATCAAAGCTTGAATCACTGTTATCAAGTTCCAAACTACTTCACAATAGGAAGTGATCATTACTAATGCCTTTAATCCATATCAAGAGTTAATTTCCTTATAGCAAACAATCTGATGTAACTATCTCTCTCTTGAGAGGGGGATTTGTATCAACCATGGAATGGACTTTCAACTACTATCTAAATTATCAAATATTATCACAACCCACAGATAATTATGGAAACATGTTAACAATGTTAGCTGTAAACTACTGTTGAAAACTAGTGTCAATTAGTGGGGTCTGTAAAGATCGACTCTGCCTTACACCTGTTTGTGGCGTAAATATAAGACATACTGAATTTAGCGAAACTTTGGGGGAACAAAGTGTCAGAATATGTCCCCTTTGTCCGCCCCTGTGACCACTTGATGTTGAGCAACCAAGGACCAATCAGTTCCTTTGAATTGAATCTAATTGAAAGCATAACAATACCATTTTAAACCTATCAAAGACATCCCTTAAGATTGCTGTGTAGGCATTTTAAAAACATACCATGAAAAAGTTTGTAGCTGGATAGCATCATTACAAAGTTCAAATGATAATATTTATACCAAAAGTTGTTAGTTTGGACATTTTTGATGACCAGTGTGGACAACTGCAGCTGTTTTCTGTCACTATACAATTTATTTATTCTAACTGTCCAGATGAGGAATTTGTCATGCATAATTAAGATCTGCCATGAAATTTACAGACTGTTATAAATGATTTATATTTTGTGCAACATTTTGCATTAAACTAAGAAAGGAAAATAAATATCTGAAGCATTATGCATGTTAAATTTTTATTGAAATATCCAATTATTACCAAATAACCAAATGTTTTGCAGGTCAATAATTATATTTTTATTTCAGCCCCCCACCCCCCTTTCCTCACACATACACACGTTTTCCCCAAATCATAGTTGGTGTTGTATTGATCTACAAATGTCACATTTATTAGATGAAATTATACTTTACAATTTGTACACATTTAAGTACAGAAAATTTCCTATAATGGCCATAAAAAATGTCAAAGAGTGACCACTGGCCACATGAAAACAGCATGACAATTACCAACTACACAAAACAAGATCATAATGGGCTTAAAATGACCCTGTGTTCAAATTAACACAGTAGGTGTCTAAACAGACAGAAAATAAAAAATCCAGGAAATACCCACTAACAAGTAAAGAAATGAGCCAGTTCTAAATCTATTACACACAGGAAGTGGACATTGATAAGAATTGTATAATGTCTAAAAATTGTGTAATGACAGATATATTTAAATTGACCACTCTATCATTACACCAGATTGTAAACTTATCATCAGACAATAAAATCAAATCTTTATAACCGTAATTACTATTTAAATACAAAATTTTATAGCCTACCTTCTTACTGATGAATATATTGGAATTCATAAATTGAAAATTTTGTGTGCAGTACATTTTAAATTACATTATTCTATGAAATGTTCTATGTTAAGTGTTCAGCTTCTCATTTCAATATACCTCATGAATGCAAAAGTGTTTTAGTTCTATTAATTGTGGTTTAGTTTGAAAATATTTCCTTGTAACATTATTTTGTATTCAGTGTATTATGATATACATCTTGTATAATACATGCATGTTATTTCTTATGCTAAATACAAAAAAAAAATCTTATTTTTCAGAATTAGAATTTGAAGACAGGGGACATTTAATTATGTGATTTTCCTCCATCTTGATAATCGTATACCTTGATTCTGCAACACTTTCAGAGGTTTTGTCTTCGACTTGGGAACCAGTCTCTGATTGTTGTTGGGAACCAGAACACTGAATGGTCTACCCTGGTTACTGTGTTGGGAACTACAGCTGCCAGGATGGGAATCCTCAGTACCAGATGATGTTCTGCTAGGACAGGAATGATTGGCCTTTGGTGTTGAACTTGACTGTGGATATGAACTGTCTGGTTGTAGGCTACACACATCATCTTCCAATCTCATCTGTTTTATGGGACTGGCAATCTCTTCATAAACATGCTCCATTATGGATTGATAATATGGACTATAAGGGGTGGTTACTGCATAATCTGAAAAAAAAATCAAAACAAATTAGTTAAACTTCTTTAAATTGCTGTGATATGAAAATGCAAAATTTGATAAAATAAAGAAGATTAGATTTCATCCAAATTTTCAGTAAATGATTCCATAATGGTGAAAACATCAAATTGGTCATTCTAATAATTTCCATCAAGTTACAAAGTAGGTTTAAATAACAGCCAAATCAACACAATTTTAAATTACAAATTTTCAATCCATAAAATACCAACTTCTCATTTTGATAGTTTTCTGTAAGACTGAACATGGAAAGATTTATATATCTGGTTGTGCAAGTTGTTACATATGCTGTCACAAGTATTATGACAAGATCCTACCAAACTTTCTACTTTTGTATGAAATCTTTCCATCTTAAGATAACTGTCCAACCATTGTGTACTTAGGCTGACCACTTAAACAATAACACATGTCAACATGTGCTGATTTGATCTGGGTAGATGTACAATGCTTCTTCCAAACTGCATGTGCCCTTGGGGTCTTAGCATGAACAATTACATGCATATCTGTGTATGAACAATTGAATGACACAAAATCCCAAATTATGTGACATTTTACAACTAAGACTTCATTAGTGAAACATCAATATAAATAATTTTTTGTGTATTGGTACATTTTTTTACATGAACATTGTATGATACAGGTATTTGGTCTACCAACCATTCCTAGACCAGAAACATTCATTTTCATCTTAAAAAATTCTATTTCTTTATGTCTTATAAATTGCACCCATCAAAGTTGAAAATTGAATCTGCATTAATTTGAGAGAAATTACTTGGCTTCAGAATTCCTTTTGAAGCCTGTGCATTTGGTGTGTTATACATGACTGAGAAAATCAGAAAGCAGACTTTTTTCCACAGCTTTTTGTTTTGGTGAGCATAATATTGTGTTTGATTGAAAATCTTGACATGGTACAACCAAGGATATACATGCATAGTAACTGCTTTACGAAAATACTTGGTACACAAATTTAATATCAGGTATGGATCCACGATTTTGAAAAAGGGGGACCCTGGTAAGCTACAATAGGAGTGATACTTATAAAAAATTAATGTATTTATCAAATATGAAGCTCCATAAGGGGCACCGGGCCTCCTGCCCCCTCTAAAATCCAAGTCTAAATGTTAACCTGTTGCTGTCTTGATTTGGGGTAATGTTAGTTTGGTTATTGTCATACAACCAACATCTCATTTTATTTATAGAGTAAATTATTCTATTTATAGTAATTCATTTATATTTAAATGCACTTTCTTCAACATAATATTATATATTAGTTTACCAATGTGTGTCGTAAAACCACAATAATATCATATCAGTACCATATCATTTTCTTGAACCTAAGGCTATATCTCCTCATTAAGTTATTATCTAATTTGTGCATGATGATAAGAAATGACACTCATCTTTAACTTTATAATAGCTCTTTATCTTAATTGAATGTCAGGTATGTTCTTCACAATACAACTTCAGATATTATCAGGAACATGGATTTAGGGGACTAATTTACTACTCCTATTTAATTAACCTGAAGAGGTTCTGGGTCACCGAAATTTTTAAATATTTTATCTCATGTCAAAATGTTCAAAACTCTGAAAATGACATTAAAAAATTCTTCATTCATTTATATCTAACAAAATGGGGAGGTGTAAATTACAAGTATTGTCTGTATGACTTATATATTTGCAGGAAAAAATTCTAAAAAAACAAGTCTTTTTAAATTCACATTTATTTTCTTGATTTATTTTAATTATGATATTTATATACAAATTCTGACTATAAATTTCATAAGTCATCCATTAGGTCTCTATAATTTTTTTTTTTAAATTAAACTCCATTTGGTGAACCAACGCCTGTGTGAATCATATTTTTTTAAGTGTTAAATTCTTGATATAAGCATAGAAGTAATATTGAAATTTTAAATATTACTTCCATGATATAAGTATAAATAGTCCAACAACAGGGACAAAACTAAAAGGGAGCCCAGTCGCCCATGGCTCCTAGATTTTGAGCTGGGCCCCTAAACTTTCAGGTAAATTTCAGTTGAACATATAGAAACTAATTATGAAATATCTGGTCTGGGCTCCCAGCTTGAAATTCCCAAGTTTAGTCCCTGCAACAACCTTCACTTACAGGGTATCCTGATCTGAATCCATAGGAGCAATTAATAAAACATTTGTTACTGTGGATAAGTAAAGTCTGGATCTAATCCCAAGGAGGAATAATGTTCCGTGGGAATCAGATCCATATTTTACCTACCCACGGTACAAACTTTTCATTAACTGCTCCTTGAGATTCGGATCCCTCTGTAACTCGAATAATTCTGCGCCCTCTAGCGGCCTATAGCCCATCGAGAATGTTAATGTAGCAATCGGAGGAATATAACGACTGACATTATTCGGGTTAATCCTTCTGCTGATTTGGAATTGGGATGCCCGGTGTGATAAAATCCTAACAAATACAACATACAGATGCTTGAATGTCTGTTTCATTGTAATATGTGAATTTACATATTTGAATTTCAAAAGATCAATAAAAATGATCAACAACTAAAAGTTTTGAAAATTGATTTTATATCAGTTTATGAGTAAACAAGATTGTGTCCATAGTACATGGAATGCCCCAATCGCACTATCATTTTCTATGTTCAGTGGACCGTAATTGGGGTCAAAACTCTAATTTGGCATTAAAATTAGAAAGATCATATCATAGGGAACATGTGTACTAAGTTTCAAGTTGATTGGACTTCAACTTCATAAAAACTACCGTGACCAAAAACTTTAACCTGAAGCGGGACAGACGTAAGGACGAACAGACAGATGCACAGACCGAAAAAACATAATGCCCCTAGGTGGGGCATATAAACATATATTCATAAATGATTTTTGAAATAAAGATATTATCAACAGATCTTTTTTCTATGAAATAATCCTAGCGGCATCAAATGAGGGACATGAACTGATCCCTCTGATATTTAAAATAGTAATGTAAAAAAGAAGAACTCAGACAAATTTTAAATCAACCAGAAGCTCTCGTGATGGAAATTGAACAGGTAAGCTCATAATTTTGAAATCTGAAAAATTAAGTCAGTGTTTTGATTGGGTAGCACTGCGGTAAGTCCTAATGTACAGCGTTGAAATATGATAGCGCTTAAACAGCATGGGGAGAACACTGTCAATAACATATAACCTACCCATATTTCAAACACTTATTTTTTGTTTGGCCTACATGCAGTCATCAAAGGAATGGAAAACTTGAGATAAATGCTAACATCACCCCACTACAAGTTCAAGACATTCTCTTGAGCAACAGTTTGTGAGCAGAATTCTTTGATAGATGTCCAGCACGCAACATTTCTTACATTTTGTGCATTGAAGAACAAGCCACGTTCATCTTAATCACAATATTATATCCAGAATTAAGAGCAATGTCCTTATAGTGTACCTCCACAACACATGTTACACTTCAGAATAAAGACCTGTTTTTTTCCCATAGCCATCAGTTTATAATTATCATGACAAAATGTTATAAATGTTTGCCTAGTTTTATTCAAGAGTACACAACCTGAATGACACCGTTTGATACAGAAATCATATCCTAGAGGAACGCTTTAAATTGAACAGTCTGGCTACTCTTAATCCCTCTAAAACATCCAATACAACAATACTTAAAGTCACTTAATATCAATCTACAAGTGGCTTTGTGGTCAAATGTCCACTGAGGGTTAAACTGAGGTTATGTTTTCAGTTAAAACATAACTAAAATGCCTGCTATCATGGTTGACATGGTCTTTTGAATCTGCACTCTATGTTAAGTATCCTTATTGCTTGTTAACAGTGAATTAGCCTTTCATGAGAGTTTAAATCTACCATGGAATATATAAATAGTAACTGCCAATGATAATCATTGAATGATTACTTAGTGCAGAAATACAACTTTAAATAATTCAATCAAGTTTGGAAGTGTCAGGTCTTTTTTTTTAGGATAAAATTTGAAATTCTCAAATCATATTATATTTATTATAGAAAACAAAGACATTCTCCCTTAATTCAAAGTAATATGAAAGGGCATTTGTGGTAAGAAAATTCCCTCTTTTATTTGATGCGGATTCATAGTCAATGGTAATCTATCAAGCATAGTGGTATTGAACTTTTTACAATAACCCCATTAATGCAAGTCATGTACTACACTTAATCTATAAAATGCACACTACATTGTTAGACATTTAAGGAGATGTGATATGATTGCCAATGAGAAAACAATCCCCAAAAGACAAAAGGACTTGATGTGAACGACTACAAGCCATAGTTATAAAGACTTTAGTGCCAATGAGACAACTCTCCATCCAAGTCACAATTTGTAAAATTAAACCATTATAGGTCAAAGTAGTAACAGCCTTCAACACAGAGCCTTGGCTCACACCGAACAGCAAGCTATAAAGGGCCCCATGACTAGATGTGTCAATACATGTAATATGAATTGTCTTACTTGCAGCCTTTAATATTGTTAATGAGAATGTAATGTAAATAGATCTGTAAATCATCATTATACACATTTAAAGTTATGGACTAACAATTAGCTCCAAATTAAATAACATCACAATAAGGTCAAACAAGTACAATTTTCATTAAACTTTATAAGTCAAAAGGCCATAACAAGGGTCCATAAACAGTCATTATTAGCCAGACATAACCTAAATTGAAAGGTCCAAAACTTATAATTATGTGAAAATTAAATCATCCAGAACAAACCAAAACCAATCCACAAGTCAACTATCAAATTTCAGATCCAGATTAATCTGCAGACAATAAAACCAAAAAGTCCAGACATGTTAATTTTTCATGAAAAGTCCCAAGACCCCAAGGTCATAATTCACCTAAACCCTAAAAACATAAAACCCAATCTGTAAGTTATCATTATCCACTATTGGAATTTGATTGATTGATTGTTGGTGTTTAACACCACTGCTGCACTATTGGCTATCCTGTGGGGGCTAGTTTTTATTTGTGGAGGAAGCAGGAGTGCTCAAGTAGAACCACTAACCTTCTACAGGAAAAGTGACAATCCGAGTCAATTAAGATCGGACTCGAATGCACCTGCCAAATCTAGAGTTCAACTTACAACCTAAGTGTTGACAGACTCGTAATTGCTGATCATTAAGTTATGAACTACTTAAACCACTCTGCCATTGAGGCCGAGCCCGCTTTAATGGAATATGAAAGAACAGGATAACACAATATTCCTGACCATGGACTTGAAAGTATCCTCATAGAAATCTGCATTTTCCTTATTACCTATTTAAAAGGTCCACCAAACTTTCTCATGGGAATACATTGTTGTACTCAACTAAATATGATTATGCCTAATAATGATTTTTTTAGCAATTTTGACAGCACAAGACTGTCAATTTAAAGGTCACATGACCATCTGACTGACATACCTTCTTCTAGATAAAATTAACATGTTCAAAATTACTGTTATTTTATTCTAATTTCTGTATTTTCTCTACATTTACAATAATTTTATTACCTCTAAATATAAGTGATTTATCATTAATTTGCCACATTTGACCCCAAATTTTAACAAAGATGTGAGAATTCAGCCCAAGTTAATTAACCATACAATAATCAATCTAAAGTGTAACAGGTTAATATAAAGGAAATAAGTTCCTTCATTATGTTATAATGTCTGTACAGGACAGACAATGACAATCAATACAGGTTAATTTGAATAGAGAAAAGGGCTTCCCTTGTCTGTTGTAGTGCCTATTCTAACAGGCCATTGTGAATAGAATAAATGATACTTCAATTCAAATAGATGTCTTGATTGAGTGGGTCACTAAGTAAATAAGAAATTCAATTATGTGGTAGAAAAGGTTTAAATTTCAAAAGAAACAGGATAAAGTCAAACCATGTTTAATGTTTCATCCTTCAATTAGTATCAATAGGAACAGGACAAAATAAACCTGATACATCAAAAATGTCTGTACACAATGTAAGCAAAACTGAGACACCAAAAAAGGTCTGTAAGAACATGAAAGTAATATTTAAATATTACTTCCATGGTAAGAAGAAGCAATGTGAATATGTACAAATCTATACATCATATATATGAGCATTTTCAGCAGGTTTTACAGTCCAGCTTTCTCACTAAAGAATTTTAAAGGTGAGTTAAACAGTGAGAGGATATTTTATTGCTACATGTAAATAAATTATTATCTCATGCCCCATGATTAAATAGAGTAAGGAAATGACATCAATTTTTTATTTAATTTTTAAACTGTAAAATGATGTAATATGTGCTCAGTTGATACAACATTTTACAATCTTGATGCATCTTTGGACTCACCTGTTTTGAAAATAATGAGTCCAGACAGATTTTCATGAGTCCAGGACTCATGGACTCGCTTAGTGAGAACTCTGTCAGTTGTAGTGATGCTATTTAACAGTTTTACTATACAGTAATAACATCAAAACCAGACCATGTGTACATTTTGTGCATCCAAACAACATTTATGGACTGATATTTTGTGACTTATGCTAATTTCAGCACTATAGGCTATAGCGTGGCATGCACAGCCAGTTTTTATTGGTGGAGGAAGCTGGGGTGCCTGGAGAGAACCATTAACCTTCAGCAGGATAACTGGTAATCATAGTCAATTAAAAGATCAAAGCAGAACTCATTTCCCATGTGCAGGGTTTAAACTCACAATCTCATGAGTGTTGACAGGCTAGTAAGTGATTGCTGTAGATGAACTTCTTAGACCACTCAGCCACCTAGGTGCCTTACATTTATGGAATAATAACAAGAAATGATGTACATTTATACAAGACACTGATCATGTCCCGACTTTTAAGAACTTTGTGTAAAAATAACACTTGGTATTGAACAAGAGCTTGAGATTTAAAGAATTGGCCCTGGCAAAACCAAACATTTTATTCCTATTATTCATTATTGAAGACCTTGACAAAAAGATCAATATATAACATTAAGTATAGATTAATTTTCAAACTTTTGCTATGAAATTAAGACATTTGGGCTGCGTGACACAAATTTGTACAATCATGATGCATCTCTGGACTCACAAATCAGAAAATGAAGTGTCCATACGCAATAGGACTCATTTTATTGCAAACCCTTTCTTGTAACTTTCATGTATCTGATATACAATGTAAAGATACAAGGACGTATAACTTACATACGTCCTTGATAGATATAAAGAAAATAGTACATGTATGTCATAACGTCAATTTACATTCAAATATGTATTTATTTTTGATAATTTTGACCACAGTCAATAAAAAGTGTAATCCAAAGTGTACAACATAACAGTTGAAGATCTAAACAATACATTTTAATAGAAATTGTTTTTGAAGAAACAAAATCGTGGCCATGGTCAAACATTTTTATAACAATATATATTGTGCAAATAATAAACATGTTAAACAGGAATACATGTCTGACAAGAAACTGACCCTTTGGACATTTTTGACGTCAGGAAAGTGTTGATAGAGGGGTGTAACAAACAGAATATTAGAGTGGACATTACCCCTAGGGTTAGATACACTATAATTTACAAGTCACACAAATTCTGACATCATAAAAGTGTTAAAACCTTGACAATACATTGTAAATACCTGCACTTTGAAAATATCTTTTTGAATCTGAATATAACCGGAAATTGATAATTTGAGAATATTGATCTGATACAGATACGGAATCACACAGACAAGAGGTCTGATAGGTATTTCTATTAAATTAAAAAAAAGATATACAAGTTTTGACGTCCGCTAATATTTATTTTTATTTCTTCATTTGAATCATGTTTTATTTACTTTACCACAATCTAAATTTCTATGAACATTTCCATAATTTTCCTGTAAATCAAGTCTTTTTATACGACACAAAACCAATTCCCCCTTCCGTACCTCACGTGGTTGACTGCTGTGAAGAACATCTGCTACTCGATGACAAACTGACCAAATAAAATTTTCAAATCAGCTTTTTATTTTGCATTTGCAAATGAATAAAATAAAAGTTACTTACCTAGCAAAGTCAGTATATTCTAAAAACTTTTGTTAAAACAAATAAAACACTGTAAGTCCGCGAATTATCGATAAAAATTGTAGTGTTTATAATGTCCATTTACACATTGTTGTCATAATCGTAGTTGAATTAAGCGCCGGTGCGTGACGTCACAACCGCGACCTCTAGCGACCAAGGTGCCCGCCATAGTCTATTTAGATAACTCTGTTTGGCTTCGTCGGATTAGTGAGGATCAATCAAGCCATACATAACTGATTATGAGATAATTAAATAGACTCATAAATATTATTTCTTCGCTTGAGTAAAGATATATCTTTTACATATTTGTTTCTGTAACTAAGTTATTTTTGAGAGTTATATTTACGAATGATGTCCTTGTACCGATGATAAAATTTAGTAAATGTTTTGACTAGTTTATGATATCGAAAACCCTGGTGTAATAATTTTTCAGCAATACATAAATTTCTCTCGCTAAAATCTAATACGTTGTTACATACACGAGCGAATCGTACAAGTTGAGATATATAAACACCATAAGATGGTGACAAGGGAACGTCACCATCTAAAAATGGATAATTAACGCAAGGATTTGTATGTATACAACTCCTTGATTAACGATAGGAAATGAAAAATCATCTCTTTTATCATAAATTTTTGTATTAAGCTTCCCGTTAATGATATAGATATCAAGATCGAGGAAAGGACAGTGGTCATTGTTAGTATTAGCTTTATTTAAAGTAAGTGTGTGTATATATATATAGTAGCCTAGGTGGTCTATGGCGCTGGACACGGTGCAGGCGGTGTTGCCACCTTGTCACAGAAGCAAGAGAGGAAAAAAAACAAAAATTTGCTTACGCAAATTTGAAGATCTAACATTGTTAGGCTAAATTTGAGACGAATTATATATATATATATATATATATATATATATATATATATATATATATTAAACGAATTTGGTAATTGTCATTATTTGCTGGGAATATACATAGTTATCCCTTTATTAAAATGCTTATTCCCGTGGACTTATTTCGTACGGCATGCACATTATTGAATACTCGTTTATTGAATTCATTTGATTAATTTTCAGTTTTAATCTGGACAAAATTTATGAAATACGAAATCATCAATATTGGAATTTCTTTATTTATCAGTACAAAAAAACGAGAAAACACAATAGACAACGCAAGCCGACCGATACACAAAAATACAAAATTAAAAAATAAAAAGCTATTTTACATGGTTTTTCTGGTGAAAAGTTTTCCTTTTGTCTTTCATATAATTTAAATACACAAAACAATGGTTTTATTGCCTAATGTTTACGTTTTTATTCACGGATTAGACGAATATATTTGGACATTTTATTTGAAAATCATCGTTTTTTATTGACTTACTATGCAGCAACGGATTGTGAATTAAAGAGACCTTTTTGTTCAAGGTTGTATAAACAGTATTATTTTACTGCTAGAAGTCTCAATGATTTTTAATTGCGAACTAACGAAATATTAACAATTTACAGAGATCGAATATAAAGTTCCTGCCATTATGGGACATAATCTTTAATGATATAATTTACCAACAAGTACAAAAAACATTTTTTAGGGGCCCTTTATAGCTTGCTGTTCGGTGTGAGCCAATACTCCCGTGTTGAATGCCGTACTTTGACCTTCAATGGTTTACTTTTACAAATTGTTACTTGGATGGATAGTTGTCTCATTGGCACTCATACCACATCTTCTTATATATCTATTAAATATTTTATGTAAAAGTCATTTTCGATCATCAATAAATCTTTCTATGAAAAAGCTTGCTATATTTTTTATGAATGCAATAGAAGATATATCAAAACATGAACAAATCGACCTTTTTCATATTTAGAATGGCCAAAACGGAAGATGATATCGTACCACGTGACCTGCAAAACTTTGCACACAGCACCTAGGCTGTCGTCCCTCATCTGACCTATAGGTATTGTCTTTTTTGGACACACATTAATTTGTTTTGGTAAGTGATGAAGAAGAAGAGAAGAAGAAGAAGATGTCATTCGATGCAAAAAAAACATGCACAATTAGTAGTTATGTTTCAGAATACACTCAACAGCAACATGCAGTGCTGTAGTGCTGGACAACGTTTTATTTTATGGAAATGTTCAAAATTGTAAAACTATTTTTTAATGAGGCATATCATATATTTTTCAAGTTGGATTTGACGACTTTTAGATTTTGACCCTTTTATTGAAACAAATATTAGATAAATTGGCCCTACTGCAATAAATCATAAAAATCCTTTCACGCGCTTGATCCAAAATAAAGAAACAGACAGCTCTTTTATTGCTGTCCGTCATCTCACAAGAGCCAAGGACACCAAGGAACGATTCTCTAGGCTTATGAACCGAAAAGCTTTCACAAACCTCCTCGTGTCTAATGCAGAGATCACAGCAATTAACATGCATATACTGCAGTCGAGGTTTTAGGAATAGTGTAGGTTTCCCTACTATAACAGTCACTAAGGAACTTTATGATTTAAAATACTAAACATAGTATCTCACGGTCCGCCTCGTGTCTGAAACAGAAAGGAAAGCCACACGCACTTTTAACTATTTTGAGTCCTAAATCTAATTTAACAACACTGAGAATGGATTTATCTTCTGCATTAATAGGCCACAAATGAGTTTATGTCTTGATTTAAGATTTTTAAATTTATTACAACTTTTAATTATTATTTGAAATAGGAGATTGTACATGGTCTTAATCAAAGTTGAAACATTGATACATAAAAGAACATTATATTCATCCTCCACAGAGTTACAACAACAAGTACACGTTCTGTTATTTTGGCGAGTATACCTTGATATATTCTCCTGTCTCAATTCGAGTGATGTGATGAAATTCGGAGCGTTGACCAAAATACCATTGTTGCTTGCAATGTTTTCGAAGAAGGAAATGAACTGCAAAATGATACATACGGAGGATACCAGGAATTATTACCAAACAATTAACAGTACAGCGTATACCGCACCAACCATTTAGTATATTTTTCCAATCTGATTAAAATTCAGAACTCCGTCGAGCATAACGAAACCAAAGATAAATATTGTAATTAGATTGGTGTACTTTCCCTCTAAATGTGACATTAAAAGGGATAACACTTGACAATGGAAGCCAGGTCCATGACTGTGTTAATTTCCATACTGAGTCCAGCTTTCCTTTATTAATATGCTGCTGTGCGGTGTGAGCCAAGGCTCCGTGTTGAAGACCGTACTTTGACCTACAATGGTTTACTTTTATAAATTGTGACTTGGATGGAGAGTTGTCTCATTGGCACTCGTACCACAACTTCTTATATCTATTTGATTCTATCCGGATTCTACAGATTTGTTGTAACTTGATTCTGCAATCAGTCTTGAAATTCACAAAGGTTAAAATAAAAGCTTCTTTTATAGCACATATTGTGGCCTAGGGTTATCCTCATATTGATTTAATTAAATTCTGAATCATAATTAAAAGAAGAATATTTTGATTGACGCAGATGGTGATCATGGTTAGACGCGATAAACTTTCATCTGATAAAGTTTATGTTTTATGGATATTTATATTATAACCCATCAATATATGAACTTACGATTAAATTCTGTCAAACATGATCATTTAATAAGCGTTCATTGTTCGAAATATTAATTAAAGGATGTCCATCAGAGGATAATGATCGGTCACCCAACATCTGTACCTTGGCTGATAAATTAATGAACCGTCGTAAAACTGTCCGTCCTTTGTTACACAGTATTAATTTACTATTGCAGTGCCGTTGTATAAATATTTTATCATTTTAATTTTGGTTTTAAACCCAGGAACCATACTTTAAACATAAATTTTTGTTGATATTAAGTTTGTGCTCAACCGAGAGAGATGTTCCCTATACTTTATATGTTGAGAGCTTTTGCAGATTTGCATTATGAACGGTTGGATTAACTATTGATAGAAAGGAAAGGATATGGTATATCCATCCATGACAAAAAATCAGTACATGCACAGAAAAAAAAAGCCACAAAAGACAAATGAATAGTGCTTTTATTGTTGTTCTTCATCTCAAAGTCACAGTAAGCATGCATATTTATAAAAGGGTGATTCAAACCAAAGGTCATCTAAGGGTTTGCAGCAGACAGTAATGTAATAGAAAAACAATGGATGTAAGGTATCCATCCAAGACAAAAAAATCAGTACATGCACAGCAAAAAACACAAAAAGCAAAGGAATAGCGCTTTTATTGCTGTTCTTCATCTCAAAGTCACAGTAAGGCCTTCAACACGGAGCAAAAAATGAAAACAACAAAAAAACTCTCACCTCACTGCAAGTTTACCTTTGATGGCCACTAGCACCGGATTCAGTGGAACTTTTTGCAAAATGATTTCGGAAAGATTTTGAAAGATGCAACCCATGACCACCAAATCGGGCCTGGTAAAAAAGGAACATACCGGAAAGTAGTACATATCTAAAACAAAATAGTTCCTACGCATATACCGGAATATAAGCCTTGTTGCTCTCTCTCCCCTATAAGTAAGCAACAAAACGACTCAATATATATCTAGAAGTTAACATGCTGTCTATAATATTAAAAACGTGTCTTTAAATTAAGTTATATCGCTTCATGTCTAAACAAGAAGTAGTAAACACAGTATATTCCCCCAAATGACAAAAACACAGAAGATATCACAAAAAGCATTCATAAATGAGGTTCCTGACATGGTTCAGGTACACGAAACACGTGACAGTGTCATGCTTGTGTTTGATAGCCCAAGCCTCCCTCTTTTGGCCTCGATCATTGGAATCAGTAAGGTATTGAGAAAGGAACTGTAACGACTAAATTTAATTTGATAAAAATTAGCACATTTTTATCAAGAGACCATTTTTTGTTGGTATAGTCAGGCACGGAGGTTATATAACCTCCTTGGTATAGTGAAGTACTAGGAGTAGGTAAATCATACCTGTCAACGGCGACAAACATGCCTTCAAAGTAGAGTACCTTATAATGACTTCCAAAGAGTTTTTACCCACCGATATAGTTTTAAAATACCAATATGATCTGAAGCTTTGTCACAAGTTTTTTTTTAATGAGTTCCTTTTG